TTTTTGCCCATTTTTCAATTTCTCGAGAACTTTTAAAGCGAAATTAAAAACTCTTCGCTCACAATTATAAAGTCTGTTTGTCCACAGATAATTCTATTAAACAAATAAATTTTTAATAAATATTACTATTTTTTATTATTTGATTTAAAAACAGCCACAAAACTTTTTAACTGTAAATTTTTACATAATTTTAAAGTAACTAATATTTCTTGACAAAATACAAAATTTTAGAGATATCGATTAAATAGTTCCTGAAAAATTAAATTTTAAATATTTGACTTTTTAAAAAATTTGATTTTTCAGGCACTATTCAACCGATTTCGTTCAAATTTTGCATTTTTTCATGCAAAATTGGATATTTTAAAATGGTGTAAAAAATTGCATACCTTGCAGGTCAAAAATTTTTCGACTATTGCCAAATAAAATAATAAAAAATAGTAAATATTCACTAAAATTTATTTTTTGTATGTATTTATTTTTAAGATAAAAGAATTTTATAATTGTGTACAAAGATTTTTCAATTCTCGTAAGAAATTCTCGAAATATGGCGAAATACACAGAGAAAAAAAATAGTAAGATTAGAGGGTCCATACTTGGGATTGCTCTTCAGAAAAACTGTGGAAACTATTTCTTCAGATTGCGGCTACTTCCTATATTTTGGGGGCCAAAAATCCGAATACGTCTAAAAAAAGGTATGTTTATTCAGAGAAAGTATGTTTTTGTGTCTGATTTCGTAACTTAAAATATCGTCTACACGAATTAATTAGCATGTTTGAGGTCATCCTCTCAAACCATTAAGATTGAGTCCCAGAACCTGAAGATCCAATCATTAGATCAAAAGTTATTTAAGGTGTTCCGTTTGTTATTTTGCGCACTGTACGTTAAAAATTATAAACCTAAATGTATTACAAATCATATAATTTTATTGGGGGGGGGGAAGTTGATTGTTTATATTTTAGACTACTTTGATTTGTTAATTTTAATTTAATTGCATTTAAACATACCTTCAAAATAAAATACAGTTACACCAAAAAATAAATATAAAGTGATTTAACATTTTAACTTACTAGAACGTTAAATCAATGAGAATCTTGAGCTTGTTTCTTTGCAATGAGACGGTTCCATCTGGGGGTAATAGGAGACAATGATACATTACAAACATTACAAAATTTATGTCACTAAATGCGGGGGCCCATTTTTTTTAAATAAATAAAATTTTAATGGAACACAGATATATTTAATTTGGGGTACAAACCTAGGAATTTAAATTCAGTTTCAATAAAATGGGCAGCCCGGTACCATTTGATCCACGGACCGGTACCGGTACACTGGTTTAAAGTATGATAAGCAGTGCAGCATAGAAAAAAAAAAAGTTCACGCTAATGCTGTTTTTTTCATTAATCGGTTATATTACAATCAACATACATCGATTCTTTACATGAATAGCATTAATTATGATAAACATTGTTAATTAAACAATAATTCAGCTATTAATTTCCCTTTATAAATGTTTTTTTTTTTAAATCGAAAATTGAATTTTTATTCTGTGAAAAATATATAAGTACACATGTTCTGATTGTTAATGAAGTAACTATATTTAAAAAAAGTTATTTCGGCAGTTAAGCCAGTCCTATTCCAATTAGTTCTGATCCTTGTAAAAAATAAAGGAGAAATTAATAACGTAAAGATTTACTGAAACCATATACCATTCAAAATTTCTGCTATTTATGTATAAGAATAGACATTTTTATAATATGAGCAATATAAAAACCAATATTAGATGAGCTTTTTGTTGTAAGGTAGCCTTACATATCATAAATATATCAATGAAAATCATATAAATCAAATGAATAGTATGCAGGCTGATCAAAAAAATATTATTACGATTACGGAATATTTAATGACTAATGTTAAAAAAAATTTACTTATAAATTATTTTTTTGATAATAATAAATTATACGTACAACCGTAGAAAGAGTATGGGATAAACTAATATTTCAAACGCGTTACCCTTAAACCGTATTATTTAACAGAGCAGTTCATTTTAATAATTCCTTTTAATACAAAAAAATCCATTGATTAGATATTTTTTAATTAATTTCCAAAAAAGGACATTTTATGAATCAAAACTTTAATCAAAGTTAAAGTTGATAAACTTTTCATTTTAAACGCGCGACATCTTAATAGTTCTAACATAGTAATCATACATAATAATTGCTTCCCTTCATCTCTCAACAATAACCTAACTTTTGAATAAGTTATTTAATAGCATATTTTTGATTATCGTACATGAAATGTAAACAAATTTCGAAAGATTTCTCTGGGAAAGAAATTAAAATAACTAATGCATAAAGTTGGGCAGAAAAAAGAAATCAAACCATGTCGGAGGAAGGGTGGCGCCAGACTTTGCCTGACAGGGGGTCAAGCACCCCCCGATAGGAAGGTCAAACAAATTCATTCAAAGTATTTAAATTAAAACGCATTTAATACTTCATGCTTTTCTCACATCATTTCTTTCAGAAGTGTGCTTCTAAGAAGTAAAAATCACTAATTTTGATACCATAATGTGCAGATTCACGTTAATGTAAATCTAAATCGTTTTTTTTTTCTTTCTGTTATTAATGTATTCTGTACTGTATGATGCAATTTACCACACACTGTAAGCTTAAAAATTATTTCTGTAATGAAGAAAAATTATTGTCGTAGACTCCGCTCTTTCAGAAAATTTCCACGCTTCGGACTCTCATAACGTAAAAATTATTCGATAATAAAAATTTCAAATTTCACGTACATTTAACGAAACGTTTAAAGGACATTTTGATACGAAAATATTATTAATGCATCGATTGGCATTTGAATCATTTAAATGTTCAGTTTTGCAAATAAAAATACAAGTACATTTTTTGCACCCTCGTATTTAATCTGAAGATATCATGCCCCGTATTGGGAAAACTTTAAAATGGTTTTGCCAATTAAATTGTAAAATTCGTCTTTTTTAATTGCTCCACAGTATACTTTTACTGACAAAAAAAGAGTTATGTTAATTAGGGGGCTCGATGCTAATATGTATGTAAATAAATAGAGAAACTTTTTAAAATTCTTCTTATGATACTTTTTTTTCTTCGAAGATGCTTTTAAAGTGAACATCTGTGTTCGGTAAAACTCTAATTTCTCCATTTGTGAAAAAGAGTGAGTCCATCGGCTTAAAATATAAAATTCAAACAAAATAGCTAAAATTTTTACTAATTTTCCAATTAACAAATTTTAAATTTGCATCCGAGAAACTAATATTAATCAACATACATTTTAAAAAATTTGCCACACATGGCTGCTGTTTGTCTACCTATATCTTCTTTTCTCTGCAGAGCTGAAAACAGACTTTCCACCAAGATTTCTGTTTCGATCTGCAGAACTCCTTCACATATTCATATGCGCCTGCAACGAATAAAATTTCACACATCTAATTAATTACTGTTTACGGCATATCAACGAGAAACATTTCTTCCTCTACGATTTGAATCAACTTTTGCTTATATAAAAAATACTACTTTTTCGAAAATCGATTTCTCAGGAACCATTCTACCAATTTTGCTCAAATTTTGTATTTTGCTATTTAAATGATTTATTAATTTGCAAAATTTTTCATAATTTTCATCAATTTATTAATTTTTTATTAATTGAATTTGAATGCAAAAATTTTTCAATTCGCTTAAAAAATTGTTGGGATATGGTGAAATACGCAAAAAGCAAAATTAACATTAAGGGGTCCAAACTTTGAACTTCTCTCCTGACCAAACTATTAGGACCATACTCCCAGTTTGCAACTACTTCATATATTTTGGGGGTCAGTAATCCGAATCCGTCAAAAAAAAATTATGTTTAATCAGAGAAAGTACATTTTTCTTTCTTATTTCCCAACTTTAGGTATTGTTAGCACTAGTTAATTAGTATAATTGAACGTCACCCTCTCGAACCATTAGCAATGTGGTATTAAGCATTGGAACATCAAAATAATATAAATTGTAGAAAAACGTTTTTGTTAATTCTTATTCAGATGCCAAAATTTGAGTGAAAAGCATTTACCTTTAAAAATAAAATTACATAAAGGTGAATTGTCAAGAAACACCTCACGATCTGTAAATGCAAGGCATAGAAGGAAGAATCATTTGCAAATTACACCTAACCAACTCTATAATCATTTATTGTTACACTTTGAAGAAATTAACTGTAAAACTACATGAGTTCGAGGGATTTTTCAAATTAACAATGTTTGCTTACCGGTCAAATCAGATACAACATACACCAAAACTCCCACAGCACCCAAAAAAACAAAATGCAAAAAGGTTTGAAAGCATTCCCTCAAATTTATCTGATACATTTTCTTAGAAAACCAAAGTATATTTAAAATCATTATAAATAATGAAAATTCAAACTTGTCTATGAAGACAATTTAAAAACCACATAATCAAAGATGAAAGTTGATAGAATTTTCTTTTTTTCTTCTTTTTTATGATAAATCATAAATTAACACCGAAATTTTTGAGAAATTGAAGCAGATTATTCTTTAATGGGCCCCGAGTAGGAGGGGGGAAAGTCAAATATCCTAGTAAACCATTCCAGAAGCAGTTTGCAAAACCGCTTCTAAGCATTCTCCTCCAATTTGAAGTAGCAGTGAAGAGAAAAAGAACTATGAATTGAAGATCAGCAGATGATTTTCAATATTTCCGTTGTAAATTCTTTTAACGTAATAAAATTATTTTCGAAATTCCCTAATTCTTAGTTAAATAAATTTTGAAAGAAAAATATCGCAAATATTTTATAAGTAAACCCTAGTAAACAAAAAGGATGAAATGCTTAATTGGATCTAAGATTTATTATTAAAATCTTTTTTTAATTCCCATATCACGAGAACAAAGCAGCAGATTTGAACTTTTTAATTCTTTTTTAGCATAGTAACATACCACTAGAATACTAAGCATTTGATTTAGTGAAATATTTTCTCTTCTATTTTGTCACAAATGGCAGCAGGATACTGTACTTCCAAGTTTCTTCCTTTCTAATCTCGGTCTCGTTTCTGTCAAGTGACACCGGTGTTTTGTTTAGGTGTGTGTCAAAATTTTTATAGTGGGTATGTTGAAAAATAACTAATTTAATAACTTTTCTTGCAATTAAGTAATGTTTTCTTCCGATTCAGTACTATGACATTTCTTAATTTGCTTTATTGTTTTTTTTCGATTGATGGGATGTGTCATTCTTATGTGATATTCATTGAAAATGTTACATTACATTCTATGAGTGGTTTTGATTTCAATTAAATTACATTAAAGTGTTATTGTGTCATATTGGTTAATTTTTAATATCAATTTGCGTATCTGTGTCCCAAATTTTAAAATAATTTTATGAAATGATACTGAGATTGATCGTAAACTTCAATTATTTACCTATTTATGAAAGAATAACATGAGAAATTAAATTATGATCAAGTTTTACCTTATTGCAAGATATTTACTGTAATTAAAATCATTTTACTTGAAGTGTTCCATAAATTGAATCTGATTATCTACATACCTAAATCGAATCTGAAAGTAATCAGCTAATTTATGTAATAAACAAAAAACATACATGAGCGAGATCTTTTAAAATGTAGTCAAATATTGCATTATTACTTAATAATAATTATGAACAAAAGTATTTTTCAATATACTGTAACTCAAAGCTTATTTCTGAGGATTTATCACTTAGATGATGGTTTTATTTATTTTTAATCTAGCATAGCCTTTCTTTGTATTTTTAAATATGTTGTAACTCAAATTATCCTCATATACCATGACCTGTTCAAATTTATAAAATCATATGTGAAACTCAAAAAACTTAGTTGTTTCCTGTGAAAAGGACATTAGATTTACAGATAAATGAAAAAATGTCATAGTGTTAATAAATTTTTTATATATTTAAGCACGTATTAGCTATGACTAGACTGAAAAAAACTTTTCTTTCATTAAAGTGTTTTGTCATTATAATGTTCCTTTTTATATTTTTGCTGTTCTCTTAATAAAAAAGCTATATCTTATAATATAATAAATTTTAATGAAATTTTCATTAACTTCGTGGATTTTCTATTTCTTACAACATGGAGTTATCAAATTTTCACAATATGTTATGTTTATTTTTAAAATTTTCAGACTTGCTTTATTATAAATGTTAAAATTTTAACACATTTACCTAATACATTGTGCTCATTAGTCAATTTAATATTTTTTCTAATTAAATTTATGATTTCATATTGTGATTCTTTGTAATTTGCTTTATTCTGTTTCAATTGTAGTTTTTATTGAAATATAATATTTTTATTTACAGAAACCCGAGTGAAAACTAGTCTGCAACATGAGTGAGGTAGTAAAGTATTTTGCTTTTATTTTTGTAATCTGTAGTTTATTAAAAAACAAAATATATTTTTATTTAATCATTTATATGAGCAATATATTTACCCATTTAATTTTTATATTTAGCTATTATTATTTATAGATTCTGCTTCTTTCTCTCACAAAATTTTAAGGCATAATGAAAACTCATTTTACTTATTATTAAAATTAGTGTACAGTGTGTAAAAAAGTGAACATCATAATAACTTTTGATCTTATTTGGATTTTCACGTTCTAGGACTAGTTTTTAACAGTTTGAGGACCTAACCTTAAGTATGCTTATTAATTAGTCCAGATAATATTTAAGTTAAGGAATCAGTCACAAAATTATACTCTTTCTTAATAAATTATTTTTATTATTATTTTTAGGAAAAGTTGTACTTCTTGTAAGGGTCACCTCAAAATAGGAAACAATCCTTATTTTTATTCCAAGGACATTTCTGTTTTTCCGGCTAAGGACATGTTATTTAATACACACTGAAAAAATTTAAAAATAAAATGTTAAACACAAAATAACTATTTAATTTTTTGTGATCAAGGTGAAGAAGAAAGTGCTAGTTTTATTTATTTGAGCGAGCTAAGGAAAAAAAAAGCACCATATATAAAGTTATACTGTAGTTCCAGTTCCATGTATAAGATCTTTACTTAGTATTTACAAATTACAACTGTGTTTGGCACAGCATGGTATTTTTTTAATCTTGTTCCAATAAACTCTATATTTTATCAAATCAATCTGGTAGGGAAAAAATTCAAACAAGTTAATCTAATAAAAGTGCTTGTATGAACATTTTTCATGTTTTCTACAATTTTTAAACAGATTAATTTAATAGATATTTTAAATTACTTTCTGTAAATACAAAACTGAATTGTTTATTTTTGAAAAATTAAACTATTTTTAATTAGTAATTTTATTTTTAATTTATTTCAAATAAGCATCTGTGACTATCCAATTTTTTTACATACAATTTATTTTAATCTTAATAGAACCTAAATTTTCTAATTAAATTACATTGATTTCACTTTATTTTTCTCTTTTTATATTATTATAAATCATAAGAAAAAGTGCGTTTATTAAGGTTTCATTTAAGATGGTTAAATATTGTAATAATTGAAATCTAAAATATTACTGAAGCCTAGAAAAACTTAATATAGATATCTGTTATTATTATTATTATTTTATTTATTTTTTTAAAACTCAGTTTCAGAATGGAACAATTTGTTTTATATTCTGTCATTACATAATTCTGTCTGTTCATTACATAATTGCAAATGATATTCTGTTTTCATCTTAAGAATAATGATCTTTTACAATTTTTTCCAATAGGTTCCTATTCAGGTCCTGGCATTTGATGATATGATGAGGTGCAATGTTGAGGACTTTTTGGCACTATCAACTGAACTGGGTGAACCAATGATTGAATTTGTAAGTTTTTATTTATTTTTTTACATAATTTTTAAAGATGCAATAAATATTTAATCAACATATTGAATCTGGCATATCTGGCCACTATATTGGATAATCAGCAATAAATCTGGTCGGAATTTATATTCTTGAAAATAAGATATTCAGAATTCATTAATAGAATTTGATTGCAATTTAATCAGAAATTAAGCTGTTTCCAAGAAGTGGGTCGCTCTGCTTTAACTGTCGACTGGTATAAAAATGTATTTTGGTTATGTAAGAAAATTATTTTGGTGGATTTTAAACCAATTAAATGGAAATTTATTGTAGATTCATGCAGCACTATGCATTGAAGCATTATGGATTTGACTAATTAATATATTTATTTTGAAAAAATAATGCTTCAAATTTTAATATAATTAGTGTGTTACTTTTAGGGATTATTAGAAAAAAAGCTTGTGTTATGCATTTCATGAAATTCTGATATTTATCGTTATGTATTCTAATCATAAGTTGTCTGCTTGTGTGTAAATTTTTTACCCAAAGGATGATTTACCAAGACTAAATTTTTTCTTTATTACTTTTTTTGCAAAACTCCTTGTTTTTATTCAAGTCTTAGTTCTGAAATTTCATAAATTTATATAGCATACTCATACCTGCCAAGTCTCCTGTTTTTTGAAGGAAAGCTCCTGTATTTTACAACTATCTCCTGTTTACCTGTATATTCTCAAATTTCTCCGTATTTGTTGAAGAAATTTGAAAAAAAAAAAATTGGCGATAAAATATCCACTAATAGCAAAAATACTTCTCTTATTCCTCAACAGATGGTGCTATTGCCAGTATTGTAGTATGTTGTGTGTTAATAGTTTAAGTTATTATAAATAAAGGTTTAAAAAAATCTTCTTTAGATTAAGATTTATATAAAAAAATTTTACTTTGCTAAATATAAGTGCTTATATTATTTCCAATTTTGAATTTCTCTTTTTGACTGACATGATTATGCATGATGTATCAAAACTTTACTCGTAGCCTAAAAAATCTGCATTAATGAATGTTTGTAATATAATGAATAACTTTAATATCATGCTGCATTTATGAGATTCTAGTTTAGTTCTGATTTACAATATTAAAATATTTTTTTTTTACTCGCTGAAAATAATAGAATTGTTCTAAGCATCATTTAATGAAGATATGCAAAGCCTATTTTTTGCCAAGTTAATACCATAAAATTTATTGATTTTTGCTTTGAAACTTAAAGATATTAGAATATTTAAATTAAAGAAGAGTAAACTTGGTTCTACATATAAATGAAATCTGAACTACTTCTTAATTATTATAGAAAGTACAATATTTACTAGCGAATTTTTATAAAATATTAAATCTTCCTGTTGAAGAATTTATTTTTTATCATTGTTGTTCATTAAGTATTCAAGTTTGAAACTACCAACAGAAATGCTAGAAATTTTTATATTTATTTTGGTTTTATTTAGGTTTTTCTCTGCACCTCAATTCACAACATACCATTTTAATTTCTTATTATAGTTATAATATTAATACAATGTCTAGGCTTCTATTGCAGAATCACATTATATAATAACTTCATGAAAATTGTTTTTTTTTTGTTTTTTTTCTTTTTTTGAAGATTGTCTCTTATTGTTATGAGATTGGGAAACTTCAACATTCATTTAAAGATAAAAATTTGCATGTTAATATTCAATTACAAATATCAGAACTCATCACTAAATTATAGGAATAAATATTAATGTAATGATTTTTATTGCAGGCCTTTATGGTAAAAGATGCTTTTGACAAGTCCCGAATGTTAATTGAATTTTGCCTCTACAATTCAGCTCCAGAAAATGTAAGACTATTTTCTTTCTGTTTTTTCTTTTCTTTTTTTACAATTAAATAATTTCATTTGTCAGCTTTTTTTTCCTCTTTAGTTTGTAGAAGTACTTACTGTTTCTATACTATTTATCCTATGTTTAATAAATGCCTCTATACTATTATTCGTTGAATGTGAAATTCAGTGAAAAATTGTATTGTACCATTAACCTTGATTAGAGGGTACTCTAAACACCCTGTGGAGAAAAAAGATGAAAAGTATTTTTTTGTAGTTATGTTAAGGTTTTTTTATGATGTTGACTATAAGATGTTCAAACACTTTCTGATGTTGAGTAGGTAATATCAAATTAAATTTTTGATCTATCTTAGGATATAGATAAAAACTGTTCAGTGGCAGTCTAGAAAAGAAGTACTGTGAAATCTTGGTTAAGCAGACCCTCTAAGGACTGAAAAAATTCTCTGTTAATGGAAGGCATGCACTAATTCGAAATTTCCTTTAAGGGAGTATTACTTATCATGTCTTCATGATGCATTTTAAATCATTTAGCATTTTTATGCCAATCTCATCCTTTTTAGATAGATAAAAATACCAAATTGATGTTTTTAATCTTACTTCACTTTCTTCGTTGGTTTCAATCAATAGATCCCTAAACACCTCTACATCGCTTTATAGGAAACATGGCATTATCTCCTTAAATGTAAGTTCTCTTATGTTGTATCGAGAAAACGAACATGACACTAACATTTAATGTGTCATTTCACCTTGTGGGGTCTTGTAACCATCTTCTCTAAATGAAAATATCAAAAGATGTAGCTGTTTGAAATATTTCTCATGAGCAGTATAATTTTCTCTCCTTTTTTTGCAACGACAAAGGATGGTTACAGGAGAATGATTATTTAGTAATGAAATAACTTAACATTGATGACATTATTCAAAATAGTTAACGACAAAATGTTATTGACATACTATACGTTAACCTTTTCTTTCAATTTTTGAAGACTTTATTTGATAATTTCTTTATAAAAAGTTTCTTTTTCTTTGTGAAATTTTTAAAAATGTTTTCTTGATCTGAAATGTATTTTTGATTTTAGGAGAATGAATTTTTTCTATCACAGCCCCTTACCAAAGCCCTTGAAGTTATTCAGGTATAGTTTTTATTTATTACATTATTGTTCTTAATATTTTTTGGTAAAGATATAAAACAATTAAGCTATTTATTAACAAATCTCAGTTTTCTTGCTAGGAAGGATTGTAATTTCTCAAATTAATAACTCTTTTAAACATCAAGCCCATAACATATAACCATTGTAATTTTAAGAGTTTTTTTAAGCTTGGTTGATTTTATTTTTAGCCAATGTCTTACTGTTCACACTGCTCATGCCTAGTATTTTGATATTAATGTAGGGATTTATTTGTATTCTTAGGAAATTGATATAACTATAATAGTGGGCAGTCTCATAAAAAATTTTCATAGTAACATTTAAATTAGTAATGTAGTTCAATTGATATTTATTAATTATTATTTTTAAAATAAAAATTATGTGAAAAATTTTTTAAATCTAAATAGTTTGAATTTTAGAAATATAAATTTTTTTAGATTGTCAAATAATGTTTTAATCTTATATGATAAATTTTTAAAGATATTGCTATAAGTTTTAGATAAATTACAGCCATCACTGCTGACAGTAAGTCTCTAACCTGTGTCGATCATTCTGATCAAGCATTTTTAAATTTGTATCTTGCAAGCAGTCCTTAATTATCTAAAGTGTTTTTTTTTTAAGTGTCAGTGTCTCCGAAGTAACATTTACATTCTGAACATGAACTAATAAACAATTTATAAGATGTTATGCAATGTGTACAAAAAGTAAAGAAATATGTGCATCAAATTAAAAATCAAAACTGAAATTAAGCTTGACCCCTGCCCTAAAATTTGAGGCTAAGGTGACTCCAAAGGATGGGGTAGAGGTCTAGTTTGATGTTATTAGATACATTTTTCAAAATATCACACCAGAATGACCACAAAATTGGAAAATCAGGGATAATGTAAAAAAGTAGGAAAATTTTATAAATCTGGAAAAGTCGTACTTTTTCTGAATGTTATAGCCCCCTTGCAAACAAATTAATCCCGAGTTCCTCTTATTTAAATCATTTTACACCATTTTTAATTTGCAATTATAGCGTCATCTATGAACAAAAAGGCAAAACTCTGTAGGTCAAATTAGGTTACTCTTTACTGATTAATCATAATTTGCATTTATAAATGGGACTACTAGTAAGGATTTTGAAGTTAACCTGCCCTACAGAATTAAGGCTGGAAATTCTAATTTATTGACATTAAAAATAATTCACTAGTATATTTTTGATTTATGATCCAATGCATATTTCTCAAGATATCATATTGTCATTTGATTTTAACAGTTTGATATTTATTGTTGTTTTTCATACAATTTATAGAAATTTCGTGATGCTAACCCCAAAAATTCAGCATTTTACAATCACCTCAGCATGATTAGTGAAAGTATTGTGGCTCTTAATTGGCCTATTATAGTAAGTATAGTATGTTTATTGATTTACTTTTATGAATAAAAGTTTGTTAAATCATTTACATACTTTTATGATTTGACCTGTTTTAATTAAATACAAACCTGTCTTAAATTCTGTTGTACGAGTCACAGTTGTATACATTAATAAACTTCTTACTTCATGTTTTGTAGATCATAAAAATTGCTTGCAGACGCAGACTATACTGGCACTTCTGTTAATCAACAAATAATAAGAATGCCCAAAAACCTATTGTAATCAAAATAGCATCACCTTTTAATTATTTTTCAAGAATTAGTTTTAGCTACATTTCTTGGATTGTATTATATCTTGATCTTTTTAATGACATCTGTTATGCAGCTTACATTCTGTGACACCTATTTCACTAAAGTTTTTGACTCACCTCATACTTTTTTAAGCTTAAAAATAATGTATGACTAAAGAACTTCTCTTACTGTATCGTTCAGGCCGGAGGCCAGCATATTTGTACGTAAATCTAAACTCAGACACTCACGATAAAACAACCATTACTTTAATGAACATAATAACTGCAATTGTAAAGTTTTTGATTATTAATGTCTGCTGCGCACCACTATTCGTGTCGTCAATTGACAATGTTACAATTCATGAATCACTGTTATCAAATATACTAATACTTTTCAATTTGCCAATTTGCTTGTCTTATGATTCTTAAATTTTTTACCCATTGCAGTGCATCTGTGGCATCACCAGAATACTTGGTATAAAGACACTAAAAATCATTCAGTGTTGGAATAAATAATAAATTTAAATTCTACTACAGCAGAAATATTCATATGAATCAGTATTCAATGAATTAACAGAAGTATTAATATGAATCAGATTGGGATAATTAATGTATATTCATTTTTACATGTTTTTAACTTCATAGTGATTGATTAAAAAAAATGTAATGTTAAATATGTGCATGGTTAATAATAGCTGCTGGTATCTGCTAACTGAGAGGTGAATAATTACCTCAACTTTTATTAAATTTACTTAAAAAGAAAACTGCATATGTACTTTACATTGCATATATTATTTTAATTAAAATAATAAGTTAGTTTAACAGAGGAAGTGGCTATTAAAACTACACGCAAAAGTCTTGTAGCTAGATTTATGCTTATAAATGCATTCATAAATGTAATGCCTATAAATGCATATACACGCTTTTAAATATTTGGCAAAATCAGGAAGTAACTATCGAAGTCAAGAATTGTTGCATTAAAATTAGTGAAATCTAATCTTTTTACATGATTTTAATGATCCTGTTTTTTTAACTACCATTTTATTATGGCACAAGTGTCTCTAATTGTGCATTTTAAAAAATCACTTTTTGATGCAATTTATTCGTGCATATTTCATTGTAAATTTTATTTTTTAATTTGTATAAACCTCTAATAAATCAAGAAATGGAAATAATATCTGAAGTGTTATACCAAATGAATATTGAATCTTATTTTGTACTGTAACGGTTTTGTTTTAATTTTTGATTTAGTTTTAAACCTTATAAATTTTCTTTAATTAAAATATATATTATTCATTAAAATTAGTATGTATTTTTTTTACTCTTCCATTCTATGAGCATTACAGTTTTTTGTTATATTTCTTTTCTTTAATATATATATTCATATATATGGATATTGATAAATCAATTATTGATAAAAAGGGAATATATTATAATTCTAATAATTAAAGCAATTTTCTGCAAATCTGTTACATTGTTTACTGATAAAAAATTTAGTGCTTGGAACACTTATGTTTTTATTAAAGTATCATATTTGCCACTTAACTCAGTGGCGCGACAGCCCATAGAGGGCCAAGGCCTACTGTCCCCATCTCAGTTTTCTTGACCATGGGCTCTGGGGTGCAGGAGCAGATGTTCTGGTCAGCCAAACGCGAACCCCCAGTGTTCAGTTCCCAAGCATGCTTGGTACTCTTTTATCAACCCACTGAAGGGATGAAAGGCTGAGTCAACCTTGCCCGGTCCGAGGATCAAACCCAGGACCTGTGGCACGGGAGCGCGAAGCGCTACCATTCAGCCACATTTGCCTGTAATATGACTAAATATGCGTGCGGCTCTTTGTTAGTCAACCTGTTGTGCTAATAGCCCATCACCCAAAAATGGTGTGCACCCCTACTTTAGAATATTGACTTTACTACTTAAGACACTTTTCTTGGGGGTTAAGTACCTATCCTACACTTTGTGAGGAAGAAAAAAACACACCTGGAAATTTTAAGATTTTTACCTGGAAAAATCAGGGAAATTTGAAACCTGATTTGAGAAGCCACCCTGAAAAAAATAATATTTTTCACACCTTAACATTGTTTTCAAGTTGATATATACATAATTTTTTTTACAGAAACGAACGCCAACTCAATTCATTAAAGACATGAAGGAGTCTGGACAGTTCTACGCTAATCGTGTACTTGTTTCTCATAAAGGGTTAGTATTATTTCCATTATAAATGTTTATTATGTTTTTAAATCCTGATTCTAAGCAGACTTATATAAAATAAAATAACTCAAAATATTTTAACATTACTCAACATAACATTTACTCAACATAAAATCTCAAAATATTTTTTGCTAGCAATTTATTGCCTATTGTAACTAGTTTCGATACTGTCGTCATTGCCTAATTTTGATTTAGATTAAAATTTGTTGTTTTCTAATTTTGATTAAAATTGGTTCGAAAATTGCTGATACCAGCATATATTTCTTTAAATTTAGCAGTTTTATAAAGGATAGATATAACACTAGTTTCTGATTTACCTTGCTTTATCTTTTACTTAGATTTCTTTGTATATCTAAAATCATCTCTGGAAGTCGCTCAGAAACATTTCAATGCAAACATGTAACAAATATATATATATTTTTCATGATGAGTAAAACTGAAAGATTTTCCGCGAACAGTGTTCGCGCATTCATATATATCTGATTTTAGAGTAAAAGATGTTACTCTTTTTTTCACTTCAATTTTTTAATCAAGGGGTAGTATTCGTATTCAAGTATTATTTGGTTCTTTTTGTTATTATCTTTTACAATATTTTTTTATTATTCATGTTATTATCATTTGAAATCATTTCAATTTTAAATGCATTAAGGTGCACTTTGTGCTATGGTGACTTTCAAGGTTTCTTTGCTTTTCAACCTTCACTTTCAGAGATTTTGATATTAGGTCACAATCGCCCCTGTAATCGACTTGAGATCAAACATGCTTGTTGAAGTATGTATAAAGTATATCTAAGTATGAGTAATATGCAGAGATGGGCATTTGCCATTCAGAATAATGAATAAAGAATTATGAATAATTATTCAAAATCAATTTCATTTTTTTAATTGTCATGTCATTTACTTAATTCTTTATAATTGAATAATCAATGCTTTATAATTTGGAAAACATGGTAATGGTATATTAAAAAAAGAATTTTTGAGCAGTTAAAATAGTTTACGGTAAATAGTGCAATAAAAATAGTATGATGAACATTATTTAAAATGTTGAAAAAGAGGCATTGAAATGTATTTCTTAGTTTGCGAGAAAAAACCTATATGCAATTGAAAATCCTGAACTTTCTGGATTTATACTAGTCTGAAAAACTGATTTTTCTCTATGATAGATGTTTGAGGTTAAGAAAAATAATAACATACATCGCTCCATAAAAAAATAACCATAACTAACATCAATTTTCATAAAATAATGCTTTATATTTAATTAAATGACATTTAATCCATAAAAAAATAACCATAGTTAACATCAATTTTCATAAAATAATGTTTTATATTTGATTAAATAGCATTTAATTAGTAATGTTTAGTATGAAATTGAATAATAAACTAAGCAAAGGATAACTTTCTTCATAGTTAAAGAGGTTTCTTTTATCTTCCCCCTTCTATCTGTTATGAGGAATTAGTAGTGCTGATTGTCAGATGATAATAGTATTAAAAATCAAGCTTCAAATTCCAATAATAAATCAATCTTGTTTATTAATTAAAAAAGTATTTAACAAGGAAAAGAATTAGAGATTTTTTTGTGAAAATATTTATGCCTTAAACCAGAACAAAGTGTGCCTGCTGTAGACCAAGTAACCTTTCTACTTTTATTTCATCTATTTGAATAGAAATTCTGTAGAACAAAAATATTTTTATTTTCTTTGTGAAATAATTATTATGCAACTTTTAACTTTTGCTGATTTAATAAGAAACGAAGTAAAATGCACAGAATGTTTTATATTTATTCTTTAAAATATAAGACTTTTATTTATATTTTTAATATAGACAATTTTTAATAGTATTTATTGCTTTTTCTCATTTAGCAATGCAAAACACACCAATTGGGTTAATAAATGGGCTCAAATTATGGATGAAGTTGAGCTATATGTTAAACACTACTTTCTAACAGGATTTACATGGGGAGCTGCTCAGGTATGCATTTAAAATTATTGGCATCTTTATAAAAAAAATTTTCTTTGGGTATAATAATAAAATAATAGCCAAAATTAAAGGAATAATATTAAAAATTTAAAATATCAAAAATATTTTACACAGAACGGTAAACTTTAATTCAAACATTTAAAGAATGTAATAAACCTATTAGACCTTTATGAAATTCATTATTTTGTTATAACTTAGAACTGTTAACTGTAAATCTGTTTTATGTTTAAAGATATTTGTAAAACAACATAAAATTTTGTCTTTTTTATGTTCTTTTTAAAAAGCAATGTGCCATTTTAGAATATTATTTTTAAAATATCCTAAGTATTTTTTTAATTTTTATTAAGTAGAAAAAATGCAGCTGGGAAGATTTAAAGAATATGCACATGTAGATGAGTTAAAAAGTTTATACTCTTCTATTTATCTTTCACCAAGAGATTTTATAAAAACGTTTTGAGGAGTTAAAACATATTGTAGCACATTGACATGTTTAAATCATTTTGATGCTGCCAGAGTAATTTTTTCCTGAAATTATCCTTCCAATTCATCAAATGAAAGATAATTGACCCATTTTAGTTTCATTTATGAAAAAAGAATTTTTTTTAATGTTTTAAAGGGTTTCTTGTAAAAGAATTTTTTTCATTATTGGTACAAATTAAATGATTCCAAACAGAGTTATAAAACATCTGTTTGAGTAGGTAGTTTTTTTTTTTTAACCCATTATATAATAATACGAATTAAATATAAAAGAAAAAGGTTGGTAATATTTCAATAAAAACACGACTAAGTTTTGCCACTCCTTATAATAACATGTTTTAAAAAATAAATGCGAAATAAAAATAATAAGTATGAATCTTTTCTTAACTGGGATCCTGTTAAAATTTGAATCTTGAATGAAAGTTCGAAAATTGAGCAACCATATTGTCTGAAAGTCCACCAAATCCAACAAAAAAGTTATAACAAATAGTAATGCATAAATTTAAAAAAAATTTTTTTTCTGGACCAACAATGTGATTACCTGTATTTTGAACTGAAATCTTAAAAAATTAAAAAGAAAAACAATGAAATAGAACTAAGTGTACTGTTTAATATTGAATTTTTAACAATATTCTTTATTTGAACAATTTTTATGTTATTGACATCATAGTAAATTGTTCATCTTGTATTTCTGAGTTCTGTTTTTTATTAAAGGGTGGAATGTTACAACCAAGACTTCCACCACCACCCCCTCCTCCTCCAGCACCTGAGTTCATTAAAGATTTTGAAGCTGGTGATGGTGGTAGTGATGCAAGACAAGCTCTTATCAATGAGCTCAACCAAGGAACTGGCATTACAAGTCGTAAGTTTATTACAGTATTAGTGTAAATTGTGAAAATAATTTGATACATTATATCAGTGTTTAACTCATTAATGCCTAGCCGCAAAGAATGGTTTATTTATGAAAAAAGTGGTAGTGCACAGTTGCTTATACCAAGTAATTATTTCTTACTGTTAACTATCACTTTATTTTAAAGATAACACTGTGCTTTGAATTTCAGGTCCAAATATAATTGTTTTTATTATTAATATATTATGGTAGGTAGAGCTACCTTGTTCCTGAAAAATAAATTCTAATAATGAAACACCTGGCACAAATAAGTGAATAGTAAACTAAAATAGGTTTGAACGCTTGGTCTTTATGACTGTTTTTCTTCTTTTTTTTTCTTTTTTTTAATTATTAAATGCTATACTATTGTACTATTGAAAAAGCGTGAGTTCTTCACAATTGATCCAAGAAATGTGGCTGAACAACTTTTCTCCTTCTATTACTAATGCTATGAACGCTTAAATGGAATTTCAAAAAACTGATAAAAAAATTACTTGAAATAAAATTGAAATTATTATTATTTTGCATTATGTAGCTTACCAAATGCCAAATAATTAAAAATATCAATTTAGAATTTTTGTCGCTTACATAGATTTTTAAATTGCAGGGCAGTATAGTAGTCTATAAATAAATATAAATAAGTTTGGCTATAATTTTTAAACCATTAATTTTACAAATTAATTATTTTTTTTTTTGAAGGATTGAAACCTGTCAACAAAACTGGATCAACTGGAACAAAACTTGAACCTGGTAAAAAATCTGTGGGTGCTGTGAAACCTCAGGCTAAAGTGTATCCTCCTAAATTTGTTCTTGAGGGTAGAAAGTGGGTTATTGTAAGTTTATATGGCATTAATAATCTTAATAAATTATTAATAATTTGTTTCATTCATTTTATATAAAAGGGTAAAGAAAAATCTATTTATGTTCGAGTTCTAGATGTTTATGTTGAAACTTTTTTGAAGTTTGATTTTTACATTGATAAATCTGTGCATGTGACACCAGTAATCAAAATTTAGTGGTCCAATTGGACCACCAAGATTTAGTGCTCCAAAAACTTAATATGATAGACGAATTCGAGAAAAAAAAATTTAACTTAAGAATTACATAATTCATGTAATTCTTACATGATTCATGTAGACATCAAAAATTATTAATAGCCATCTGTCCTGAAACTTATTAAGTTCATTATCCCATAATGATTGAAATATTATTAAAGTACTTATTTATTAGTATTTATTAAAATTAAGTGAAAGAAAAGGTAAAATAATATCAAATAAATTCAACATAGAAATTAAATACTAAATGAATGGGAAAAAGTAAGAACTAACAAAATACACGGGTGATTGTATTCCAGGTTTTTTGCATGATTTTTCCAGATCTAAAAACCAGAAGCATGACCTGTGATTTTCCCATGAAACCCGAAACCATTGGTTTGCAGACTTCTTCAAATTAAAAGTTTTAATCTGATGAAATTTTTAAACTTTGCTGAATTCGGATTATGAGATGTTTACATGCATGTGATTCTTCCGCCAATTTGACTCTTTTGGTTTGGTGGATTTTTGGTGTGCTGGAAACTGTGATTCGTATTCACGCGATCTGAAAATTATGCATCGTGATTCGTATCTATGAAATTTAAAAATTCTATATTGCAACTTGTATTTTTGTCTTTTTAAAATCTAACAGTGCGATTCATATTCACGCTATTTTAATATGCGACTTGCACACTGACACTGCTGAATTGCTGGAAGGACATGGTTTTACAAAAGTGCTTCATATTGCTTGCCAGTAACAGTGCAGGTAACAAGACCTGTAAGTGTGATCTTGAAGAAAAACGGGCTGGTGATAAACTGCCATTATATCGCACCACACCATTGACCTTTTCAGAGTAAAAAGGTAATGACTGTATATGGAACGGATTCTTGGTCGCCCATATCCTGCAATTTTGCGTATTTACAGATTTGCAAATAGAAGTGAGCTTCATCAGACCACAGAATGTTCCATGGCCATTCATTGTCAACTTCTGTCCAGGAAAGCTATCATAGTGCAAACGTGCACATGCTTTCAGGTCAGCAGGTAGCAAGTGCTGCACATGAGCTCTCTTGTATGAGTAACAGCTCAAGATGTTCTTTAGGACTTTACACACCATGCTGATCGGCATATCCAGCATTTGGCCAATTCCCTCTGCACTGCTGATTCCAGCATCACTATTCGCCTGTTCTTATAATGCTGTAGCCTCATCTTCTTCTGCCGAAACTAGTTTCATTCCTCTATCCTGTTTCAGGTCAAATGTCTTTTCGAATTTAGCAATCATTTTTCGCAGACCATTTGGGGTTATTGAACTCTTATTTCATTAATTTTAATGTCCGAAACTTTCTAACAGCTGTAAGTCCATGCACACTCATCGTTCTTATGAAAAAGCTTCAAGAGCAAAACTCTATCCTTTATAGTCAGAGTTTTGATGAAGCATTCAGGCAAAGAGCTGATGCTCTGTATTTTTATGGCAGAGTAATTTTGCATAGCTCCAAAAATCCCAAACAAAATTCCATTGCCTCACGATTGCTCTGTTAAAATATCAGGCCATTCTGATGAGTAGTTTTAAAATGATCAATTTTTGAAATCAGAACTTTAATTATAATCACCCTGTAGTAAAGGAATGTTTATTTGCATTATTTAAATTGAAATAACTGATTAATCAATGTTCGTTTTTTAACTGTCTACTATATAGTTCATTTTTTTTTGTTCTATTGTATTATATTTCAATTGATATATATCAGATTAAATTTTATTCTTCATGCATTTTTCTTTTTATTTTATTAGGAGCATCAAAAGGATAATCCATCACTGACTCTTGACAATCAAATGTCTGAGTCTGTTGCTATGTATAGCTGCCAAAGTTCATTCTTAGAAATTCTAAACAAAATTAACAATATTGTTATCGGTATGTATGCATTTTAAATTTATTATTGAGTTCTATAAAAGAGTAAATTGTTTACTATATGATATGCTTTTTTCTAAAATCAGTTACTGTGTTTAAATGGTTAAGATAAAAGAAATATCACATAAAATTTGTTATTAATGTTTGTTAAAGATCTAAAAGTAATATAAACTTATATACTAAAGAAAGAATTTTTCATAAAGAGTTTTATGATTAAAAGACAATTTTATTTATGTAAATAATTTTGATTTAGTATTTTTGGATTTTTATATTTTAAAAAATTATGGTACATGTAATAAATTTTTGGGTCTATATTTGTCAGTGATTAGCATGGCTGGAAAATTTTTATATTCATATGCTTTCTTTTATATACATTCAAAAAACAATGTTTGGATGTGTAAGAGTTATATTAAGGCATGTAACTTACAAACTCTATCAGATGCTTGCCTAAAATTTTGAAATTTGTTTAGTTCTATTAACTTAAATTTGAATTTTGTAGGATAAAAAGGTTGACTTTTATTTATAGAAATTCTAACCCATCAAGCTGTGAATAAATTTGGTCTTTCTCATTGCTTTTATTTTGATGTTTTGTGAAAATAAATTATGTAACAATAAGTTATGTCACAGAACAATATTTTAAAAGCTCAAATTTTAAACTTATAAATGAATAGGCAATGCAATTTCATGATGAAATTATCAATAGCAGTTAAAGATTTAGCTTCTCTTTCTCTATAAAAAAAATTGTGAATGCGAAAAATTATGCGACAATTTTTCACAGAATTGTGAAAAATTATGAATGAAAATTTTTTAAATGTTTCTTTTTCTACTCTTAGATTCTTCCAAGAAAGTCAGTATTATAATTAGAGGGGATGTCATTTCCTGTGTTGAAATAATAAGATGTGAAGGCCTCAAGATTCAAGTAAATTGCTTTTCACAAATATATTAAATACGTTATTATTTCTTTTTGATTAATTTGTATGTTTGCACCAAAGCTGCTTTATCATTAAAGGAAAATGTTTTTATAGAAGACTTAAAAAAGTTATAAAATATCTCAGAGCCTTTTTTTCCCTTCTCAGCTACAGTCCTGAATCAACTGTTGTGTATCATTTAAAAATATTTGCACTTTAAGTTATACACACTCCTTTCATTCTAGAACCAAACGAGATATTTGCATGCTAAGTTTCCATAAAGTTAACTGACTAGATTTTATTTTTAAAATTTTTAATATAATGTGTTCATTAAATGAATTGTTAGCTGAGATTATACAGAGAATTTAAATAAGTTTTCCTTTTTTTATGATTCTAGTGTGAAGGAGTTGTTCCATTAATTAACTGTGCTAATAGTGACAATATCCAAATATTTGTCAATGAACAGTCAAAGCATGTCCAGTTAATTGCATCCAAGTCTTCTTCTTTAAATATGTGTATGATGCAGCCTGATGGAGATTATGTAAGTAGATAATTCACATTATTAAAAACGTTTAATTATAAATCTTAAATGCATTGTTCATTCATTACAAGTAATTTACTATCACTCGATATTAATGTGGTTACAATGTTCTACACTACAATTTGAACATTTGTTTGGTGCAGTTGTGGTTACATCACACCTATAACTTGATTTATTAATAAGAAAATATTTATTTAATACATATAACATGAGGTTTGATTTAGAAAGCAAGATTTTTTTATGATACTAAGTATAAAATTTTGAAATGTAAAGAATCTTTAGTATAAGAATATTTTTGAGAAGTCTATTTTAAGTGAACTAAATTATAATGGGATCTTTTCTCGTATAAGCCTTTGACATATCAAACTATAATTAGCATATTAAAAGTTTGCTTGACATCGGCTCAAGTTTTCTTCATTGCCAGAACTAATAAGAATGCAATAGAAGAGTCGTAAAGGTTATTTTCTTTTTAACACTTAACTTAAATACATTGGTTAAGTGATTGCAATATTTGAGTACAGTTGGGTATAAGGTAATTAATGAACTTAGATTTTAACTTAAGGGGCTCAATGTGTGTTGTGCACTTATAAATTTGTAGTAAAAATTTTCTTTTGTTTCATTTCTCTTCATTAAATTTGATTGTTTACTTCATAATACTGGACTTCTTAATATTATGCTTCTAAGTAAATTAGCTAATGATTATTACTATGTTTTCATTTTATCAAGTTTTGCTTCTACCTTATTTATGTTTAAACATGATTCAACTGTGTGTGTATATGTTACCGTTAAAGTATGAAATCCGTTATTTTATAGAATACCTAGTTATTCCATGAAATAACTGATCCTGCCCATTAAAGTGTAAAACTGTCTTGAATTTCATGGTTTAACTAGTTATTTCATAGAATAACGATCTGCAGCCCATTAAAGTGTAAAATAATCTATATCGTATATCTCGCACGACAATCTGAAAATTGTGTTTTAATTGTCTATCATTAGTTTATTTATAGAATACCTAGTTATTTCATTTTAGATAAATTGTTTATTTTACACTTTTACTGTCTCTCATTAGTTAATTTATAGAATACCTAGTTATTTCATAGAATAACTAGTTAAAGTGTCAAATTAATAACATATTACACACTTCAACGGACACAATCAGTTATTTCATAGAATAACTAGGTATTCTATGAAATAACAGCATTATATACTTTAACGGTAACATATATATATAAAAAAAAAATTACCATTTAATAAATTTTAATGTAGATAATTATATTTTGCTTTTACTTTCTTTATAGGTGGAATATCCGGTGCCTGAACAAATAATGTCTGTAATAGAAAATGGTAAATTAAAATCCAGTGTGGTGGATAACATTTAATTTCACGTTCGTCATTTTTCATTTGTTTTCCTGTTTTGTATTAAAATGACTTTGCATAGCAGTGGAACTTTTTTACTACATTTTCCGAATATTGCTACCATGTACGAGTTTAATTTAGACTTGATTGCTGTGTTTCATTTTTATTACCTACAAAATTTTTTACTTAATATATTAACCTAATTTGCTGATGTATGATTTTCTGAAACGAATTTTGAATTTCATTATAAATGCATATGTAACTCATTGTCTTTAATAAAACTTTTTGATTAAATTTGGGAATTTTGTGCCTGTAATTCATATATTTAATTAATCGTTTTTTGTTATTCATATGATTTTCTTTGTTAAATTTACAAAAACTATCACAAAAGTGAGATAAGATTTTAAAAGTAAAATAACATTTCATCAAGTAAAATAACATTTCATCATATCAATTTCTTTATCATTGTGATTGAGGAAACTTAGTGTCTCTTTAATTTAGCATCACCCAAAGGGATCACATTTTTGATTAAAAATTAGTTAACGGAAGCAAAACTTTTTTACTACAATTAATAATTTTTTTTTACTTATGAAATCAATTAACGTTTCAAAGCAGATCAGTCTAAATTTTTCTTAAAAAATATTTAACAAATAAAATGTTACAAGAACATCATTATTTAAAATTTCAATAATTAAATCTAATCTTGACCTAGAAAATTGTTAATATGTTTATGTACAGTCAGCAAAAAAAAAAAAGATATCACCCTGAATAACTTTTGTTCTAATGATCGGATTTTCACGTACTAAGTGCAAATCTTAATGGTTCCTGGGGGTGACTTCAAATATGCAAATTATTTAGTGCTAACTATTAATGAAGCTACAATATCGGACACAAAAACGTACTTTTTCTGAATAAACATAAAAATTTCTTAAACGTATTTGGATTCTTAACCTTCAAAATATAAGGGGTAACCGCACTCTGGGAAATATGGTCCCTGTAGTTTGGTCAGGAAAGCGATCCAAAGTTCGCATTCCTTAATGTTAATTTCACTATTTGCTTTTTTAGTCATATTTTTAAAACTAATTAAACAATTCAAAAAGAAATTGCACTCACTTATAAAACTCATTTAGCCAAAGATTATGTCATGCAAAAAATAATTTTTAATTATTTATTATTACTTAATTTAATTGTAGATGAAAAGTTATGAATTATGAGGTATAAATTTTTTTTAGACCATATTAATCTTCGTATTTTTCTATTGCAAAATCTAAAATTTCAACAGTTTTTGTTTGGTAGGAGCCAAGAAAAATTAATATTTACTATTTTTAAAATTAATTTGGTGACAATGAAGAAATATTTAAATGGGGCGATTAATTTTTAAATGTGGTTAACTTACAAGGAACTTGACTTGCGCGTGCATAAAGTAAAATCTCATTCATATTTTTTTCGCTATTAACTGATTGCTAATCCTTTTTTTTTAATTATAAATTTATTTGTAATTTAATAAAGAGATTTGAATAAAGCATTTTATTGAATAAGAACATTTTATTAACGAATGTTGAGTTTTATAATAGCATGTTTCTGATAGAATGTGATTATACGTCAGCTTTTTTAAATTTTATTTGTTAGTTTGTTCTTTCAATATATATTTTATAATTATTAATACGAATATGTAGTCAGCATTTTTAAGCATCTTAAAATTGCTCAACATCTTATATATTGTCTTAATCTTAAAATAAATTTCTTACTTTCCAGTCTACGTGTGTTTCGCAGAATTATTTTTCCAACCATTTAATTAAATTTAACATTTCTTAAGATGTTATTCTTTATGCTACCGTGTATATTATTTTTCCATTAAAATTCTAATCAATTGTTTTAGTACTTTAATTTATGTTTCCCTTTAAACTAAAATTCCTTTTTAAATTATTGTTAATTTTTTATTGAAGGAAAACTTAGAATTTTATCCAGCTAGCTGAGAATTAAATCTTGTTAAGAAGTTAAAAATATTCTGCTGATCAAAATTATTCAATGCAGAACAGCTGAGTATTTACTAAGCCTACTATTGTTTTCGAAAAATGGAGATAAGTTATTGATTGTCTTTTTTATTGTTTCTTATTTGTTTAAATAATGAAAAGTAAATGCACATGTGTGCAGAGCAAAAAAATACACTTTGCTATGTTTTTTTAAATGAACAAAAAACTAAGGACATACAATTTTACTTTGACATTCCAAGTTATTCTTGCCCGCTAACGTTAAGAAAATTCCTTTTCTTTTAAAAATTTGAAAATATTTGTTTAAAAAGTTGTTAATATCCTCAACTTTAGCAATTCAAAAAAATATTGCTACATCAGGAAAATGCTCGATATGTCTCGTTTTGTTAAACAGCTACTAAAATTAAATTTTTTTAAAAAAAGATTCCAAAACCGTGCTATTTTTGTAACATTAGGATTTTTTCTACTTAAATGACCTATGATAATAGTTTTAGCCCTCACTTTGAAGAAATTATGAATACAAATTTTGATCTAATATTTCGTAATAAGGAAACAAGAATATTAATGATTCATAGATAATTGTTACATTGAACCGAAATAGCTAATTTTTTTCGAAACAATTGGCCTTGCAACTACTTAACTTCGATTTTTTGAACTAGGGGTCATTTCATGCATGTCACTCAACTTTACAATTTCAAATATAAAATGCAAAAATTTACACGAATGCATAAGCTGCCTTTAATAATAAAAAGACAAAATCATCGGCAAAAGAAGTTATCTCATGAGAAGAATGTCAAGGATGTGTAAATAACATCCATTTTTAACTGCAAACCAAGTTTACTTAGAATCATTCACAAATCTTCTGAAGTGCAAATTCTTGGACCCCGCGTAGGGTAGTAGAATATTTTATGTATGATTAATAGTTTCAAGAGTGGACTCTTATATAAGTAGGCAGCTAACTTCTTTTAAAATTCTACATTAAAAAATTACTTGTTATTTCAAAATTGTTACAAAGCATCTGTATTTTTTTAAAATGGTTATTCATATAATTTTTACATTGGCCATCAGTTTTCTCTTAATAACGCAAAAACCTTGACCGTGGTAAGCAGCCGAAAATTAAATCATTATGAATTATTATGTTTTAACTTTTTTTAAATTCTCTGACCTTACTATTAAAAAACTATGATCTGCTGCAATATGTTTATTTTGCTTGAGTCAAAATATTGACATTTTTTAAACTTAACATACATCAACATAGTTAAAGATACATATTTAAAGATTTGAAATAATTTTTTCAAAGAGTGCATCTCTAACAATACTTCTGTGAATCATAAAAAGTAATTTATCACTATTTATGAATTTGTTTACCCTCTACATACCCCCTCCCCCAATTTAAAATTAGATACCAAAATTCATGAGTTTTTGTAAAATGAAACTGTTACAAACCAACTGAAATAAAAGAAGTAGACAGGAAAAGATACATAAAAGTTTGCTACACTGCACTAAATAAATTATTTATAATAAATAATCAAAAATATAAATTTATAAAACATTTATTTGTTTTATATGATTTTTAAATTTACAAAAGCTAATTTATGTTTTACAATATTTGCAATGTTCAAAATGCTTAAAAGGTATCCACTTAGATCTTATTTGTAGAAATTCAAACATTTTTATTCTATTTAAAACTAAAACTAAACTCAGCGGCGCGACAGCCCTTGAGGGCCAAGGCCTACTGTGCCCATCTCAGTTTTCTTGACCTTGGGCTCTGGGTTGCAGGAGCAGATGTTCCAGTCAGGTGGTCAGCCGAACGAACCCCCAGTGTTTAGTTCCCAAGCATGCTTGGTACTCATTTATCGACCCACTGAAGGGATGAAAGGCTGAGTCAACCTTGCCCGGCCCGAGGATCGAACCAGGGACCTGTGGCAAGACAGCGCAAAGCCCTACCGCTCAGCCACCAGGCGTCTTTTATTCTATTTATAGTTTATTAATTAAGCCACAGATTATTTAACCAATGAATGTCACTGACTTATTGATCGAGAAGTTAAATTGTTAATTCAACTCAGTAAAACGTAAAAGAGTTATCTACTACGTACACATTTAGTTTCAGATTATTTTATTAAACATTTTTACCTTATATAAGGTGGTGGGAAGAATAGTTCCTACCAACAGGATTAATTTTTAAATATTGTTGCTAAGCTATTTTCCCCCAATAATTTCAGCGACCATCTTCGAACAATTTCAGGAAAAAAAAGAAGAAAAATACCAATAAAAGGATTTTTTTACGTAAATGCTGGAAATAGTAAAGGGTAGTGGGGGGGGGGTCACATTATTTTCTCTAATTCAACAATTTAAACTAGTATAACTCTGATTAAAATTAGCATATCTCTTAATAATCTACAACTGCAAAATACAATGAAGTAAAATTTACTTTGCAATTTATTAGAGACCTCAGGGCATCGACGCCAACTTTTGACAAATTTTAATTTTTTAAAAGATTTAAAACTTTTTTTTTTATTTGAACTTTCATTTAGAAAAATTAAGTTTTTATGCTTGTAGTTGCAAACATCTGTATTTTAATATGTACTTAATAAAGTAAGAAAACTGTAGTATCAGTATTGTAATTATAAAGTTATCGTTAAATTTAAAATTTTGAAACCCAACATTTTGGGACAACAAATTTACGAGTTTTTTAAATTAAATATTGAATGCTGTGGTGAATATAAGTGATTCTCACGAAATATGACAATCGAGCTTTTGCTCCAAGATCTAATACTATACTACTAAAAGAACTTTTTTTTTAAAAAACATTAATAAATAGCATTGCTGTTAGCATTTTAAAATGATTTTGCATTAATATTGACTATTTTGTATATTTAAAAAATTTAATTGAATTTCAAAATGTCATTTTCACAAACAATATTTCCAATAATAACTAGCTTCAAAACTTACCATAAATTTTTCAATATCTAATTTTTTTTATCTCAACCTTTGTAAGCATTTCTAGAATACATGCAGAGGCAGGGGTGATTGTGAGCCTCAGTCAAAATTCCGGAAAATTTCTTGAGTTAAAAAAAAACAAAAAACAGTTTAAATTGAAAAAAATTTAAACAAGGTTTTTTTCCTATATTTCTTAGTTTACTTAAAATATATTCAAAATTTTACACATACCTATACCATTTACACATAGCTAGGATGACCTGGAGAAGTAATTAAAATTTACAAATATGTCTTTCTTTCTTGAGTTTATGATTATAACAACTATTTACTGATAAAAAATGAATATTAATCATGAATATAAGCTTATAAAGTATCTCTCTGGCTCTCCCTTACAAACAAATAAAATAAACTGTGTTTTTAAGTTCCACCTTTGAAAATTTGATTTCCGGAAACTTCTGTGATAAATGATATTTTGAAACGTCTGGAACTTCGATCTCCGGAAACTTCCAGATCACTGTTAGCGAAAATTCCGGAAATCCGGATTTTTTCCGGAGCACAATCACCCCTGCAGAGGGTATTATTTACAAAAACTTAGTTGAAAATAATTTATTATGTCAATAATTTGTCACATGAAAATGTAATTTATAACCAAAATAGATAGGGCCAGCAATCAATATCTTAGGTTAAGAGATTGCATCCTATTAGAACATGTCTTAAGAACCAACATTGGTTCAAAATCTATTTCAAAAAATTTTACAAGGGGAGTAGGTTTTTATGTTGTCATTTTGAAATCATTAACATAAACTACATATATTTACCTGAGTTATTTCAAGAAAACATGTTTTCTGCAGAAAGTAAACATCTTAGGCCAAAATGTTAAAGTTAAATGCTGTAAAATGGCAAATTGTCATTATCCTGGCTTATGAATGCCAGTTACCAGAAAAGTTTTTAAACAGTATAATGTTAAGAAGGAAAGAAAATATTAACCTAATACCCAGTTTATGTAATATTGTAATATGCTTCTATGTAATCAGTTATTTATTGATTTATCATTATACATAAATTTATTCTGTACATATATCAACAACAAAAACATTTTTGATTCTTTCTACAGTGGATAAAAGAATGAATTTAAACAATTCATGGTCCATCTAACGCGAAGGCTTTAGGTTATTTTTTTTTTAAACACATAGTTAAAATATAAAGGATAAGCTAAGAACATCACTGTACTATTTAATTCTGTCATAGTCTTTAAACTCTACATGGGTGTATGTATTAAAGAATGTAATTAAGTTGTAAAATAAAATGATTTGAAATATTTTAAATTTAAATAATATAATAAAAAAAATTTCGGATGTAAATTATTATAATATTAATTTTACTAGGTTATTTTAAAACATGGGGCCTAAAAACAATTGAGGAAAAATGAACTGAGAAAAAAGAAAAAGCTGGGAATGTATGTTCAAAGTGTTCACAATAATTTTTTTTTTTGGAATTTCTTTCTTTGTCTTTTTGAGTTTCTTAAGTTGAGTTACTTACTATTAGCTTAAAATGACTGTTTTCTTAACTTCTAAGCCACTTACCTGGCATTCAAAATTTGGTGAATTTCTATTCTATTTTTTATTTTTTTTGAGCAAATGTCAATAAACTACCCTGCTGTCTGTAAGATATTAATAAATGCAACTAAATATATAAAAAAAATTAAAGTAGTTTGAAGACATTGAATTTGAATAATTTTTTTTTTCAAATTTTGATGTTTCCAAAGAATCACCCATTAACATAATAAAATAAATCTTAGTTTTGCCGCCACATTTTTAATTTCTTAAGGATTTTACAAGGTCTACTTAAAATGAGGCTATCATATCAGATGTCGGTAGTGATGGTGAGAATCGTAAAATAAATTTTTAAATTAAGGATTAAAACAAAGAAACATTAGTAGCCATATTTGGGGATAAATAAGTAACTGATCGCAATCGAAGAGCTTAGTGAAAGAACATGTTTGCAAAAGTCAGTTTTGGAATGTATAGAAACATAAGGATGTTATTTGCAAATCATGCTTACTCACGAAATCCATGTAACCCAAATATTTGTCAAAATTAAATGACCTTTAATAATAATAAAAATACCAGTAAAATTTACTTTTATGTATATATCTAAACGGTTTTAAAATGCCTCAACATTTACTAAGTTTTTTCAATTTTATAGAAAAGAAATACTGTGAATTTTATAAAACCTTCTGAATGTGCATCAGAATCACTATCTTTATCTGGCCCTCCAAATTTTTTGCAGGATCTATTTTTTCTTTTCTTTCTCTTACCTAAAAGACTCGAACTGAGGTGTAAAAGCAATTAGCCTTACAATTTTTCATAAATTTGGTTTTAGTACAAAATTTTCATACAATAACATTAAAACAGCTTTTAAAAAAATTTCAGATAATAAATTCAGCGTTCAGATTCTAAAAATCTTGGAAAGTCATAAATAATTGATTCAAATTTTATTTTCAAAGGATTAAAAAGAAAGCTCTGTTTTTTTTTCCCAGAAAGTAGATCCAAAAATTCAATGGTAGTTTTCAATTGTTTCACTTTCAATGGCGAGGTAATTGGGCATTATTTTTAACTTTCGCCATATACATAAATCTTTATTGCAACCCAATTTTTTCGAAATTTTTGTCTCCCTCCCCCCCCTACCTTAAGGGTCAGGATTCCAAATATGTAAAAAAAAAAAAAAAATGTTTATTCAGAGAAAACAAGTTTTTGTGTCTGATTTTGCAACTTATTAATTAGCCTATTTGAGGTCACCCCCAAGAACCATTAAGATTGTCACTTAGTTCGTAAAAATTCGATCATTAGAACGAAAGTTATTCAGGGTGTTATCTTATTTTTTTGTTTTGCCAACTGTACAAGGACTATTTATGTAAAAATGTTGAATCTTTTTCACAAGTCTTGTTTGTGTAATTTATGAAATTATTTATAAGTAATAAAAACAAATGAAATCATATTCATCAGCATTTACTAATTACAACAATAAAAAATTATCTACATATGAAAAACAGAGTTTTTACAGCAATATGAATTCCAGATTGCAAAATAGCTTGTCTAATTATTAGTGAACTGATTTTGTTCATGAAGAGCACAATACATTAATTCATGCACTTTCAATCAAGTGTCTATTTTTATATGACAAGCCATTTATATACGGAATAAAATTTAATATTTAGTCTGACTAAGAGAAGTAAACTACTCTCTTGCAGACAGCAATTTAAAATCTCTACTATATACAGAAAATAATTCTTTACATAAATTACAGTGCTTCCAAAATTCATAAGTTAAAAGATCTCCCCTGAAGTCTTAAATTTTAAGCATTTTTTTATCACTTATAAAAAGTAATTTGCACTGGGTAATTCACACAGGTGTTTTTTTTTTAATCCTCAAGGAGGAATTGCATCACTTGACAAATATAACAACAATATACAGTATGTAAGGAGATGGAAAGACAGATAAATGCTTAAAAAAAAAATGTACAACAATTTTGCTCAACAAAACGTAAAATGTGTATAACTAATTATTAAAATTAATGATGACCAGCACCCAATAAGTTTTACAATAAATGTCATTGTAAGCATACAATAGAATGTTTCAGAATAGCAATAATTTAATACATGAAAGAGGATAAAATCATATTATATAAATAAATGATTGATTTATAACTATTTTAGAGACAATATGTCTTTTGGTCCTTCTTGCAATGCTAATTATATTTTTCATCATTATACTGTTTCGTAAATTGAAGGCACAAAAATAAAAATATGATTATTAAAATTAAATGAATCAATAGTGTTTTGTAAATAAATTTTAAGCTCATGCTTTCAGATGAATAAATATATACAATCAAAACTACATTATATTTTTAAATACTTAAAATGTAGCATCAAATATTATCAATTGAATGATCAGAAGTACAATAGTTTGATTAGATAATTGAATGCTTTGGTGTATATAAGGAAGGCAAGTTCGAATTAAAAAGAAAAAAATTTTACAACTAACTTTTGACTGTGGACAATATGGCTGTTTGGTTTAGAGAAGGAACAGCGTGCAAATATAACATCAATCCCTTCTGGTATGGAAAGGATGCCTGTTCTCGATTTTAATTTAATTAGGCTCTCGCCAACAATTCTTGAATTTCGACATACGTAATTCTTGAATCTAAATTAGACAACAAAAAAGATCATTGTAAAGAAGAAAAAAAAGGTTTTCTAAGTAATACAACAAATTATTAAATGTTAAGACATTGTTTTTCAAAGTAATTTAAGCACATTAGTGAGACTATGAAGTTCTTCTTTAGGCATCCTTTCACTCGCCAAAATAGTTCAGAATAAAATTTTTTTAAAAAGCAATTGCAAAAATTTTTTTTAGTAATTTCTAATCGTATTTTTGCAAAAACTAAATCAAATTAAAGACATAAGAGATGATAAATAACATTAAAATGAAACATAATTTTTTTTTTAAAAAATAATTATGTAATAAAAATACTTTGAAATTAGCTGCACACAGATACAGGCAAGAATATAATGAAAAAATTTCATAAGAGTATGTAATTTTCTTACATACTTATTCAGTAAAATTTTTTTGTGCCGCATTTATTCCTCCATGCAATTGTTTTTAGATTACTATTAAATACCACTTTTTTTTTAAAAAAGTAATAATAAAAAANGAGACAACATTTCACACAAATTTTATGTACGTGGGAGATTTATGAAGTTGGGTACTTAACAAGTGAAAAATTGTTACATACAATAATTGAAATAAAGCAATTTTTACAAATAAAACTATAGTAAAATTTAATGTTGTACAGATAAAATGATACAATAAGAAAATCCAAGTCTATAAAACTAAACCATTATTAAATTAGTATTTATAATTTTACAATAGCATAATTTTCATTGTACGAAAAGGATGCTTACACACATTGTGGAGTCTTAAGATTTTTTCAGTAATTGTCTAATAAATTACATAAAAGACGAGTGGTCTCTCCATTCCACCAAACGCTTTGAAGCGTGAAGGTAGTGAGTCCAAATCCTGCCTAAACCCTGGATATATCTTTGTGATGTTCTCTAATTTATCTGTTTTTCAATTTATCAAAGGCTTATAAGTCTTATTTTGTAATGAGCACATAAACCTGTATATGTGTGCAGCAATAAATAATTTATTATAGAGATATTATTTGGGAAAATAAGGGCTGTCCACATAGCAACTTTTATTCAATTTTCAATTGATTTGATTAAAGTAGTTAAGGCAACTCTAAATTAGCAATACAAATTTTTTTTTATATAGAACAATTCTTGATTAAAGAATAAAAGTTAACTCTTACATAATGGTTGTATTGCTTTATATTAGGTAATGAAAATATAACCAGCTCTTAAATATTTCTATGCAAAAGAGTCATAAACTTAGTCCTATATTACACTGAGCTACCATTAAAGCTTTATTTATTAAAATATGATAAGTTGATACTTTTTCTGAAAATCTAGAAGGCTTAACTGTCACAAGATTTTTAACCCAAGAATATATTTCATATATTTATATATGTCCTACATGCCAATTTGGTAGTAAAGATTAATGAATCGTGCAATCATTTGTAATGAAGCAATTTGATATCTTTCTCTTGTATTGTACTATTACTTCTGTTGCAAAGAAAATTGTATGTAAAAAAGAAATGTCACAAAGCACAACTTAGATTAAACTACATATTTGAAATTTTTTTGTTACTAAAACTACTTTTTTTCCATGTAGTATTGCTTAATAGTCAGCAATTCATAATATAAGTATCTATCTAAATTTCTTATGGGCCTAATACTCAGAAATTTAGTCAAACTGGCAAATCAATATTGAAAAACAAAGCTTCAAAAACCTGCATATATACTGGCTTTATAATTTTGCACAGAAAAAATTATTAAAAAAAAAAAGCTAAGTGGGATTGAGATAATAAATAGGTAGGAACATTTTCTGTAATAATAAATCCATTAAACATTCCAACATGATTTTAACAAACAACAATATAAAATTTTAAATGTCTCGCCATCTCATTAACATAAAATATTTGAAATAAAACCTTATAAAATTGGCCTTGGGCCTTAATTAAATACACAAATGGACATAGTACATAACAGACGGATTAACACTCAATCCGAATTAACCGGCCAGAGTAATATTTTTATAAGCATGCCTTTACTTTTAAAGTTTCTTTTTAAATATGGTGCAACAATGGAGCTTCACTTCAGTTAAGCAAAAGCCCTTCCCCATAATTTTATAATTCATACACTTTATAAACAACTAGATAATGATTATGACACAGAGCTCCCAAAATTTGAAAAGATGACAGATATTTCTAAAACGACGAGCAGGCATATAATAAAGTTTAAAATAAAATAACTTATGAAAATAAATAAGTGAAACTTGTAAATATAATAAGATAACTATTAGGACAATTTAACAGCAATAAATTTCTTTAAAAATAGATAAAATAATAAACCTATGAAAGTTTGATTTCTAACATAAAAGCATTTCAGTCGCTAAAAAAATACAGTGATCATAAAATAATTTCATTCTACAAGAAGCTTATTCTTACACATAATTGCATATTTATTTCATTGCAAAGCAATGAAAAACAAAGCGCAGACATATACATTAGTAGAGTAATCCCAGCCGCATTATAAACTACAGTAAAATTTTTTCAAATGGAAAATGCAGTTTTTTTTTCTTTTTCTTTTTTTTAACAGGCAACAATATTTTTCACAATGACATATAAAAGCAGTGAAGCCCCAAAGCAATGAATTAACATTAAAAACATATGAAATCATTAGCTGCTTAGGTAGCACCAATGTGATATTTGTCTGCCATTTGTGAGCAATGGAATTTGAGTTTGCTAATCTGTGACTTAGAAAAAGTGTTCAAACACATGTGTGTTCATTTGCTAAGAAATTGGAAGCTGATTACAAACGTCATTTACATCTTCTGAACAATAAAACAAAACATCTGCTATGATTGCTGCCAGTTCTTGATCCATCACCTGGGACATAACAAGAGAAAGAAGACGGGGTTGAAACCTCATGAATAAAGATTGATTCTCAGGAACTAAGGCTAAATTTTTTAGTGTTTTGGCTGCTCTTTGCACCATCCCTGGAGTAGTGCCCATTAGTTCTGGTTTATCCCGGAGTTTTTTTGTACCCTGAGAACTGGCTATTTGGAAAGCATTAGCTTCAGCCTCTTCAATGAAAGAAATTAGATAGGGAATACCACAACCTTGTTCAGCAATAGTCCTAGCTGCAACTGTGTCTGCTTGTGAAATATTTGAGAGCAAAATAAGAGCAAATTCTCTCATAATTTGATCTTGTCCAAAACTTAAACATTTTGTCAAAAAGGCTAATAAGGATTCAATACGAGACCATGGAGGCGTAGCTATAATGAGATCAAGATTATTTGAAAGCACAGAAAGTTTGCAAAGAGCTTCCAAGCATAGTCTTTGAGGCGACAGGACGGAGGATGGTGAACGAGATGGCAAGGGATCTTGAGCATAAGATGATGGGCAAACAACCCAGTGCAATAAACCATCCAAAATAGGAAGGCTTACTTCCTCTGGAAATGGTGACAGATCTAGTTGACCTGATATATTAGATAATATCACCAAAGTATTGTCTCTTAGCACATTAAGGGTGCTCCACCACCATTCTTGTTCATCCTTTAAACTAGTGCATGAATCATTCCACGACATATTTAAATCAATGTCTCTCTCATATTTATGATATGGTTTAGAAGGTTTGTGTTCGTGGTGTAAAAGTAGCAAACGTCCTAAAAGCACTAAAACTCCAGGATTTTTACCCATAACTATATCATTATTTGGAACAAATGAAAGGTTACGCAAGATAGTTGAAACACAAACACAACGTCGAGACAACATTTCTTGAGAATCATTTGTTGTACACAAAGCAGGCTCATCAAAACAATAAGCTTCATCTTCCTTTTCTTCACTAAGAAATCTCTTGCGTGATGAAAGTGATCCTCTCAAGCGAGGATTAGACTCTGATGAGCACAATGATTCCTTAAATTCATTACTATCAGTTTTACATTCTTTATTATTCAATACATCTGCCTCACACTTTGCATCTGTTATTAAAGCATCACCATCTGAAGTCAATAACTGATTAGAAATAATGTCTACAGCTTTAGAAGAACCATCATTAGAATCAACTGAATCTTTTTCGAGATCTTCTTTTTTAGAATTGTCCGTTTTTTTGCTTAAAATAGATGATGAGCTCAATATTGAACAGTTGTCTTCAATATCCATTTCTGAATCTGATTCATTTAAAGAGTTTAGTTTATTAACAAGGAAATTAAACTTTTTAAGAACAACTATTGGCTCTTTATATAAGCAAGATTTTGAAGTGCATTTATCTTTTGATAAAATTTTCCGACTTTTAACTTTTGTTTTCTCATTTATAAGTTCTCGACTAAATTTTATTTTCTTCGATTCACTCGCAAATACAGTCTGTATATGTGAAGTTATATCACCCCCACCTTTCTGCCAATGTTCACTACAAACCTCAAAATCTTCATAAATATCCCACGTTCGTTGAGGATCGATTAGAAACAAAGCTTCATCATATTCTATTTCAACCTTTTTTTTACACCTTGTTTTATAGGTAAAGTTATAGGAGTCTAAAATTTTGACTTTCCCTTCCCAATCATATAAATTATTAGTTCCACCACATTGTAGGTCATTTGATGATTTCTCAGTCTTGTTAATTTCTAAATCTTTAGCTAAATTGAAAATTTTGTTTAAGAAACACCGATAGTAATCCACAAGTACATGTAGAAGACCAGGTAGATGATTTAAGTTGAAATAAATCACGGTACTATTATCAGCAAGCAAAATAGCTAAGGCATCTAGAGCCCATGTTGACTCAACAAGTAGCCCAGATCGCAAAGAGAGCATTAACCTCCAAGGATCAAGTGGACTGATTCTTTTTGCTGGACATCTTCGCCTTTTGACTGCAACTGGCTTAACTGATTCCACAGTGTTAGGAGGAAACTCTAAAGGCTTTTTTATGGGAGAGGGAAGCACTTGAGCTCCTGATACCGAATTATTTTGAGGCTGCAAAACAAAAAATATCATTGTAATTACACGCAATTTCATTCACTAAAATGAGATATTAATCAGGGAGATTTTTCAAAATTATTAACTAAGTATCATATTATTTGAATCAAACAAAGTTTTTTTTTTAACTTCTGTTACTAATTAATTAATACTAACTTTGCTATAACTAACAATAAAAATATTTAGTACCACAAAGGGTAAAAATATTAAACTAATAAAATTTGAGAAATTTATATAAGACACAAATTATTTTTGTTGCTTATAATCCAAAAACATTGCATACTACCAAAATTTTGTAAAAAGTATGCAGTTAAATGGAATAAAGTGAATGCCTAAAGGAATGAGCATAGTATATTTAAAAAAAAAACCAGCTTGTTTTTAAGAGTGATTTGTGTAGCACCATCAATAAGCTAATGTTAAAAATACAAAAACTATATGATTATATTTAGTTAAAAGTTAGATTTCTCAAGGAATGTTAAATATGTCAAAATTTGTCCTAAAATGAAGAAAATTTTTGGAAAAAATTTTTTAAAAAATGTATATTTTTTCATATTTTTTAAAATACACAAGATTAGCGGAATTGTTTTTAATCATTTCTGCATTTGATATGTTGTCATAAATGGGTGGACCATAAGCAACATATAATTTACACATGAAGATTGATTTGATTAATTTTCAAGTTGATACTTTCTTCTATAAATTATGAAAAATATTTGGAACTAAATGACAAAGTATATGAAGTAAAAAAAATTTGGTTTTCACAAACAAGTTTTCCTCAATGAAAAAAAAAAGAAGATCAACAACAAAAAAATAGACTGTTTTTGTAAGGTACAAGAAATTTTAAGAAAGTTTTTAATATTTTTAATATAAACAAAATTTTTAGGAACTATATTGCTATTAGACTACACTTACATATAACAAAATTTGGGGGGGAGGGGACCTACATTTAATCTATACAACTTTCTTCTTATTGTTTGCATAATAATTAAAATTTATTATAATCATGCACTACTTTTATTAAATGAAGTTGATTAAAAAAAGTTTTTTCTTTTACATATTGGAATTATAAAAATATTATATCTGTGTCATTTACTGTTTTCTTCCATGTTATCTTAACTATATTTCCATACACATTCAAAAAATAAATCTTAAAAGAAAATTTCTTTTAAAAAGGTATTGAAATTTTCAAAGAATGAAGGAAATTTAATTTATGAAAAATAGAAATGCAATGCACTAAAAATATAAACATGAGATATACTAAAAGCATGAAGTAAATCCTTTTCAAAACAAAGTGTCTCATAGATTAATGTTAACTTGCAATTCAACTGTAATTCAATTGTAGTTTGTGAAAATACCAACTGCAACTATATAAATTTTTTTAAAGAAAGGATCAATGGAAAACTCTGCAAATGTTGCAAGCGTATAAATTGAATTACTATTAAATACTGATTAAGCCCCATCCAAAGTTTGACAAAAATCGACGAAAAGTGGAGTGAGGTGAGGGGCTAAGCAAGGGAAATTATTTAAGAGTATCTAACATATTTAATAAAGTGGAAATGTTACTCAATTTAATTAAGTATAAAACGAATGTCAGTAAAATTAGATAACTAAAATAAATAAATTGCATTTAAAAAAAATTATTTTTTCCCTTTATGCTTTTCTTTCAAATTATTATGATTGCAATTCAAAGGAAATTTGCGAAAGAGTCAAAATTATTTTATAAAGCATAAACACAAAGAATGAAAGAGTCAATTTAAATGCATTTATATATATGCATTTATAATCGGATTTAGAAAAGCATTAAAATGAATCGCCTGAAATTGCTCATCGTCAAAAGCAATTAACAAGAACGTAAAATATCATTTATTAAGAGTAAACAAAAGTATGACAGATTTTATTTAAACATTATTATTTATAACCATTTCTAATCAAAATTGAAAAAGCATTTAAATGATAAGTCTAAAATCATGCAAATATGAATCAAGATTTTTGATTTTAAAATCATGTGAATACGAATTGCAATATTAGACTTAAGACATGAGAGAATCAATTGTGATATAGAATTTATAGGACATGGGAATACGAGTTACGCCATTTGATTTATAAATCACATGAATTTGAACCATGATATGTAAATTTTAAATCATGTGCATACGAATCCCTATGTGTAACTTTTAAATCATGTATATTTACGTTTGAAAAATCATATGAATATGAATCAGGATATTTTATTTTGAAAGTAATGAAAAGAAATCGCGACATTGCATTTTTAATCCATGTGAATCGGAATCACTATATGTGTTTATTTAACCCAGTTAATAAGAATTACAATATTTGAATTAGAGGAACTCTAACTGCAATATTTGATTTTTTAAATCATGTGAACAATCCTGTTAATTAAAAAAAAATATCTGCAAAATTTCAGAATTTCTATGTGTGTATCTGTGTGTCTATATTATTTAAATCTAGACATGGGAGGTGAGAGGGGGCTCATTTGGCTTTGATTGCTGGTCAATATTTGTATGAAACTATGGTGGGGGCTTAGTTGAATCTGTGGGGCTTGTTCCTCATTTTTTGGCAATTACAAGAATCTATTCTTTGATGAATGATACAATTCCTGCACATGTGCCACAAGTTTAATTTTTTTTATACATGACAAAGGAAAGGAATTTTTAATACATTTATTACATTTGCAACTAGATCAAATGTTAAGCATTTCTCCTAAAATTTGGACTTTAGGTTAAACCAATTTTAACAGGTTTAGATTTCAGTTTTTGTCACAGGAAAGCAGCTAGATCAGTTCAAAAAACTACCACCTAATATTTGGATAGTTAATGCATAAATTAAGTTCGTAGCTAAACTAGAAAATTTAGACATAAACTCAAACTTTAACTACAATATTTTCATGATTGTATATATGCATTCTGCACTTGATATATACAAATTTTTGCAAATATATACCTGAATTTTATTAGAAGATATATTCTGGCTTAGAGCAGAAATGCTTGCAGTAGAATTTTGAAGCTTATTTTGTACTTGAGAGGAATCTCTGAAAGGTACCCAAGCTTTTCTAAGCCTAACATCTGACTGTTTTCCCTCTGATGCATTTAATGGATTCTTCATTTGTGGCCGTTGACCAGGATGCATAGGATATGGATGTTGATTTTGCTCTGGATGCCAAGCTAAAACATTCAATAATCGTTATAAATTAAAATAAAATAATTAGGAAAGCAACAAAAATACATATTTCTTAAGAATTAAGATAGCAAATAAGCAAACACAGATAGCAAAATAAATAAACAATGTCTAATTTTAATCAAATTTAGATTTTGTGTTGCACACACTCAACATTAAATATTAACGTGGATGCTGATTTTGTTCTGAATATTAAACTGAAACATTTAATGCTTTCAAATTTCAAGAAAAAAGAACTAGCTTTGGAAAATAGCAATTTTAAAAATTTGCGCAGAATTTAATTGATGAAATAAGTTACAAATTTCAATTTTGTTCGCATCACATAAAAGTAAATATTTTAACATATTACTTCATAATGTACTCATGTAGTTCAACACACTACATGGTACAAACTTAACACAAATAGTTCAACTGAATCTCAAAATTATTCATTGACACAAAAATACTAGGCATGATATAGTATGTTGTTTTATGATCTGATAAGAAAATATACTCCAAAAAGGGAGGGATAAATGTTTTTAAGTGCAACTTATTTTAATTTAAAAAAATATTTCAAATTTAGATAACAATACATTTCCTTTATATACAGTAAAAACCTTTTTTATTTTTTCACTACATGCTTAACCCTATCACTGCAGTGTTGTCTTCAGATCATAACTAAGGACAAATCTGAAACTGGCACTAATAGCTGCTGAATACAGCTCTAGCGCTTGCTACATTAACATTAAAATCAAACTCAATTCCTTTGGGTACAATAGACCTGGTCCATGTGCCTTGCTCCTCGGAGCTGCCCAACCTCTATGTCTAAGTCAATTCTTTTCTTTCAAAAAATTGTAATTTCATATCGTATCTGTTACGTTACAAAAACAATGTGTGAAGCAAAGTTGTGCAAATCTATGTTAGTAGCAGAGGTTACAGTTGTTATTCTGATGAGTTTGATTGTATGATTTCTAATCTATGTTGATTAACATATTATTCTATGCTTACAAAATTGGTATTAGGTTATAAATGAACTGATGTAATAGCGTTGTAAAACTATTAAACTAAAGAATAAAATTTCAAAATGAAAAAGCTTTCAGAAAAGAAAATAACACACTTAAGATGTTAAGCAACAGTGAACTAATACATTTTACTATTTTGTATAACATTTACTGGGATAAATACATTCAGTTTAGTAAAATACAATAATACATTCTTCTTTAATTGGAGAACGCAGTGTGTCATAGTTTGACATACTTAAAAAGAAATTTAATTTTGCTTGTTAGTAGCCACTCACAAGCCTTTGGTTCAAATGCATAAAAATATTTACCTCTTTGTGGACGAGTATTGTATGGATTACAATAAGCAGTATTATTGAACACATCTTTGCTATGACTTTGTTGAACACCATAGTTATACATATTATTCTTAGAGGAAGAATTGCTGTACTGGTAAACCTTTGAAGGACTTTGAACATTTTCATTGCAAGAAATGACCCTGCTTCTATCCACCTATAAAAATGACACAATTAAATTGCACTCTCTATACTAGATAGAAATTTTGACTAACATACTGAGTGTTAAATAATCACAGATCTTAATACATTTGTTTTTACATTTAACATTATTTAATTTTTTTAGATTATTTTTACATTCCTCTAGAAAATTAAGTATAAAAAAAATATTCAAGGGATGCAAATAAAATTATCAAGAAGGAACAAAACAAAATCAATTGAAATCTGATGAACCACTATTGAGGAAAGTGGAATGAAAACAGAGCACAAGAGTTTTAAATTAAAATATTTCTTTATATTGATGTAATTATTATTAAAAAGTTGATTAAGACAATAGATAAAAATAAAAAAGCTTTAACACGCGTTAAAATATTAAGAGTTTAAAACTAATAATAGCAAAAAACTCACGAGACATTTCTCTAGACAAAATTTTAAAGAATATCATTGAGTTTTAATTTATACAAACATTAACATCTTTTTCAGACTATGACGATAAAATTTCTGTCCAGAAATAGCGAATTTTCTATGCCAATGATATGTTCTCATAAAAAAAAAAAGCATAATGAACTCGTACAAAAAAGACTTTTAAAATATTTTTGTTTGGACTCATAAATTATACAAAAATGCGTAAAAAATACAATATTCAAACATAACTCGTACAATAAACTTTAAAAAAAAGGACAAAATACCTGTATTGCAGGAGGGCCTTCTGAACCTCGATATGACTCATTTTGGGAGTCAGTAAAACGTGCATACTGGTTAGAGTGAACATCCTTGTTAGCAAACTCTCCTTGATAAGGCAACTTTTGATTAGAAAAAGAGCTTTGAGACTGATTAAGGTAAGGACCTTGATTTCTGCCAGTGAATTGAGGAGAAATCTGATGGGGAGTTGAAGGTTGTTCAGGAAAATAATTCATTTCATTAGGTTTAGTCATTTGGCTAAAAAGGAAAATTGAAAATTATCAATGATATTAAATAGGTAATATTAACATAATACAGTATATATATTAAGATGCAAGTATTATTGAGCAACTTAATTTTTTTCTTGTTACCATCCTTTGAGCAACTTAATTTTTCTCTCGTTACTATCCCGTCATCATTCTTACTCCAAAGAATTAAACATCGTGAATTTACAGCTACTGTTTATTTAAGAATCTAGCAACTGGGCTAATATATCTGACCAAAAAATAATTTTTGATACATCGAAGAATGGATTAATCATTTGAATTATAATGAAATCATATTTTTTATCAAGTGACTATTTCATATATGCCAACTTTTACGCATTAGGCGTAAAATTTTATTTTCATATATAAAGTGGTAGTAAATATATGCTAATTTTTCTTTTATAAACCAAATTTTTAAATGATTTTGATCACCACTATTCTTAAAAAAATTAAGCGTATATATTGTTATGCGTTATTATCATTGTAATCAGCTTAAGCTTATTCAAAAACAACGTATTTTTTTTCTTAAAATTTAAATTTTGATTCCTTTTTTATACCACTGGGAAAAATCATAATGGAAAGGATTAAAAGTTGGCATGTATGCTATTATAAAATTAATAGTGGAAATGGAAATAAATTTTAAAAAAACAATAACAAAAACGAAGAAAAAATTTAAAATTTCCCACTTAAAACTTCTTATGGAGCAAAATTAAAGATTATCCTCTCAGTATATATAGTTCTTATTTGTTTTATTCTTTAAATACAGCATGTTTATAGTTATTTCTGTAATTTTTTTCATTTCGTATATATATATATGCATTAAAATACATGTGTACACAGATAAGACCCATTTTTATATTAAGCTCAACGGCCTGTGTGGTGAACTCATGTCAGAAAGATTAAAGTTTCGAAACCTGGTTAGAGGCATGGATGTTCCTTCTTTTGGTACTATCTGTCTTTCTTACTGTGAGGGTATTGTTGGCTCACCTAATATAGTGCCCCCTGAAAGAGTAGTCAAAACATCTGCCTTTCTGATACCCGAATGACGAATGTCAATGTATGAGTGAAAATTGGAAAAAACCTTTTCTATATTAATTGTAGAAGGTATAACAGAAAGACATTAAGTATATATTCCTTACCAGATATTCTTTGTTAAAATTGATGCTTAAGATGTAGGTACATAGTTTGAAAAAATATATATATATTTTGTAATTAGGCTTTTTAAAGTCATAAAGTATTTAATGGCAAGACAGAGTGAAATCAAATATAATTTTTTATGTTCCTAAAAAATTATTTGTTAGCAATGATAAAAAATTATTTGTTAGCATTGATTTTAAGATGTGGCTGCTGAGAATATGTGGCTGCTAATAAAAATATGTTTTGTAATTACTTCACAAGTAAGCTTGTGAAGTTTTTTCTTTACTGGCACACACACATAAATATATATATGTATACATATATATATGGGCGATTCTCACGAAACATGAAATTCACTGTCCCTTGCTCCAAAATCTAATAGTATAATAATAAAAGAACTTTTTTTAAAAAAAATTAGTAAATAGCATTGCTGTTAGTATTTTAAAATGACTAAGCATTTCTGGAACATACGCAGAGGGTATTGTTTACGAAAACTTCGTTTAAAATAATTTTTTCTGTCAATAATTTGTTTGTCCCATGAAAATCTGTCACTTTCCTGGCTACTTTTATTTAGTGATCTATAACCAAAATAGATAGCACCAGAAATCAATATCTTATGTTAAAAGATTGATTAGATACCCTCCTATCTGAACATGTCTTGTTGCATGAATAAAGAACCAATTTTCTGGCTCTAAATCTATTTCAAAAATTTTTTCAAGGACAGTAGGTTTTCATGCTGTCATTTTCCTGGCCTCTTGAAATCATTAATAACAAAAACTACATAGATTAATGTGAGTTATTTTAAGAAATACTGTTGATTTCTGCAGAATATAAACGCCTCCGGCCAAAATATTAAATTAAAGTAAAGTTATATGCTATTAAATAGCAAATTTGTCATTTTCCTGGCTTATGAATGCCTGGACATTGAAGTGTTACCAGAAATTCTTTTTAACTGCTAATACTGTAAAGAGGGAAAGCAAATATTAACATGATANTAGCAAATTTGTCATTATCCTGGCAGTCATTTTCCTGGCTTATGAATGCCTGGACATTGAAGTGTTACCAGAAATTCTTTTTAACTGCTAATACTGTAAAGAGGGAAAGCAAATATTAACCTGATACCAAGTTTATGTATGATTGTAATATGCTTGGACGTAATCAGTTATTTATTTATTTAATTATTGATTATTATACACAATTTTATTCTGTACATATCAGCAACAAAATTTTTTTTGTCTCTTTCTACAGTGGATAAAAAGAATTAATTTAAGCAATTTATGGTCCATCTAACATAAAGGCTTAAGTTGAGTTACTTACTATTAACTTAAACTGACTGTTTTTAAACTTCTAAGGTAATATGTCATTTTCCTGGCGTTCAATATTTGGTGAATTTCTATTTAATTTTTTTTTCTCGAGCAAATGTCAATAAACTACACTGCTGTCTATAAGATATTAATAAGTGTAGCTAAAGAAGTATACAAAAAAGTTTTAGATTATTTTGAAGACTTCGAATTTGAAGAAATTTTTTGGTCCGAATTGTCATGTTTCGTGAGAATCATCCATATAAATATATATATGCACAAATGAATTTTTTAACATTTCTTAATTGCATAAAGTAAAATAAAGCATAATTTAAATAGGTAATTAATATGATTATAATAGAAATAGGCAATTAAGTAATCCTCACTTTTCAGGTATTGTTTGTTGGTAAGTTTGTGCAGCAACAGCAGCTCCAGGTGCGAAACTTTTTTCTACCACAGAGTTCTGATCAGGAGAATTTTTGTTGGCAGAGTAACTAACACTGAAACTCATTTTATCTTGAGAAATTTCAACTGAACTAGAATGAGATGCACTTAAACTAATATTTCCATAATTATCAGGAGTTGGTTTTGAATGTTGCACTCGTTCCGCAGCTTTTCCTGAAGGTCCACCAATTGCATTGGTTGCAGAATAGGGATTAGAATCCTGACTACCCTGATTTGTTGTTGTTGATAACATAGTTTCCATGGAACACCCACGGTTTGGATTATACGCATCAGGAACAGATTGTCCTTGCTGTGATGAATACTGCTGAGGATAAAATCCCGATTCTTGAGGCAGAGGTGTTGAGGTAGCACTTCTTCCGAACTGACAAACATTATTATTCACGTTGTTCGGCACTGTGCTGTTAAAACCAGGGGAAGTTGAATTATTACTTGAATAATATCCATAATTTGATTGAGAGCCATGAGAGTATTGGTTATACTGGTTAGGACCAGCAGGCATATTATGAGAAGCATTATGAGGAGTGTTTGGAGGAAAATGCACGGGATTAGACGAGCATTGGTAATCCATTGCATTATTACACTGATAGCGAGATGACTGATATGAGTTGGAGTATCCAGAATATCGATCCATCACTGGAGAATAGTTTTGATTATAAGGATTTTGATTACCTAAAAAATTAAAATAAAATTTAATAAATGAAATGTAAACCCATGCTAATATTATAACAATGAACAAAAGAAAATATGTAAACTTCGCATGAAGAAATTTTATCACGAATTGGCATATACTTTTTATTCAAAATTAATGCTTACCAAGTATTTTTTAAGAAAAAAATATTATGAAATTTTAAATTTGATTTTAATAATAATTTAAACAAAAGGCAATTCTTAAATATAATAGATAACAAACTATGAAAAAATTACAATTTATTAAAACACTACCGGTTCATAAACAAATTGCAAATATTTTGCACTTTCACGTTGCAACTTGCAGGCATAACATAAGTTATACACAAGCTATGCTGAGAACCAATGTTGTTTTGAGGTAACTGTCCAGCACAAAACTAATGCATAGAATCTTTAAAATCATAATTGAAACAAAAAACTGCACATTTGAAAACACTGTTTTCTAAAATGTATACACTACCAATCGATAACAATGCAACAATACAGTTCTGAAATAAAAATTAGTGATAATAATTCTGCAAACATCACTATTAGTTGCTATAGTAGTCAGGCCTACACAAACTGTACAAAATCAAAGAATATATAAATTTATGGTGATCAATGAAATTTATCTCCTTTCAAAAATATAACTTACTTCATTTCAATTCATTAAATACAAAAATTATGCTCAAATAATGTATATAAAAATTTGAGATTTTCATGAGGTATATTGAAAAGATTTTAGTCACATGCTAATAATATCTCTAACTTATACAATAAAATACAGTTTTCAATTCAACTTATGCTAATTTAAAATTGAAACTTGAGTTTTACTTTTTGTGTGATGCCATTTTGAATACTTTTAAGTTTAGCAGTACACAAGTAAAAACTAAATAGCATTTACTTAGAGAAATATTTTTTGCTCTTACGTGATTAATTTACATTACAACAAAATATTATCCATATTTTTTTTAGCAAAACATTAGAGAAGTTGTGCTTGATGTTTGTCTTGAAAAATTTATTTGTATGAAATATAGTGAAAAATATCTTATACAGTAAAAGATCTATACAACACAATTCTATAAACTGCTATTCTATAAAATATAACTATAATTCTATAAACTGCACTAATTTTACAATCTCTAAAACAAACCAAAACTTAAAAATTTGTTGGATTTTTATTACTAATGCCCTTTATGACTTCAATTTTTTTCTGTCAGTAATAAATAATTTAAGGCATATTTTTATGCTTTAAGAGTATTTTTATTTCAAAATTATTTCAATGCATTAAAAATGATCCCCTGCAGATACATATTGCTATGTTTAGTAGCTCCTCAAAGGCAAAATAATAGATAACTAAACTTATAAATTTTGTGAAGAAAAAACATTAAGTAGATTGAATGATATTACATAAGACTTAAAAAAATTTAGAATTTTAAACAAATTTAATAATTAATATTTATATTATAAACATTATTATATAGAGGCTCCTAACTTATACTAATTATAACTTCATGTCTCAACACATATTCTCACCAAAAAAAAAAATATTATAACTGAACACGCAAGAAGAATAGTAACTAAATTTCAGCAATAATTCAAAAAAAATAAATAAATTCAGTCAGAAATAACTATTTCAATTTATACAGAATTAAATTTGAAAACAAAATTATTAGCAAAGCACATAAACAAATTAAAGGCTTCAAAAATATAATCTAATACATTGATAAAACTTGCTTAATGTTCATTAATGTTTCATTTTCTATACATGCAATAGCAAAATGCACCATAATTTAAAATCATAGATCAAAACTACCATTTAACCAATTTATTATCTGGGTAATAATAACTTACGAAAAAAAAAAGATGACTCCATATGACATATTAAGATAGTACTATTAGTGAAAGTAGAAATAGTAGAAAAATTAGTAATAGTAAATAACAACAGTGAAGAAAGTAGTAGAAAGAATATAAATATCAAGGATGCCACACCTTTTGAGAAAATAAAAAAATTTATGATAATGTTTTAGTTTTTTTAATTGGTGACCTTTTGATACAATGAAACAAACTTTTGTGTTTAAGTATTAAAAAGTGTGTGCTTGAGAATGTTAAAATTTTTTTTTATCCAGTTCTTAGTTAAAATTACCATGATAGAACTTTGAAATTTTTATATAACTGCGACTTTGTCACAGCCAATTATTTCCACAGAAAGCATCTGCAATATTTCGATCATTGAGGCTATAAATGTTTACCCTTTTAATTAATTTTTTTAGTGTAATAGACATATTGCTCAAGTCAAAAAACACAAAAACAAGATGTCACATTTTAAAATCCCAGTTCCACCTTCTTTCTTAGTATTGTTATAGCATGTGCAAAAGAACTGAATAATGCAGACACAATGAAAATTTAAATAATGTTTTTTTTCAAGTCTGTTTAACATCCCCAGTTTTAATACTTACAATATCTTTCTAACTCTATTTTAAGTTTCTCATAGGGACAATCGTGCTTCAATGCAAAAGAACAGGTGTTGCAATTTTAAAATTTCAATGTTTGTCATTCTAATTCAAATTGTGAAGGCTGGACAATCCTATATAACATGATTTTTAGTTATACCCAAGGGGTCATAATTGTGCTAGGTTTTCTTATTATCACCATGTATATAAAATAAAGTACATAGGCGATCTTTCTCATATTAAATCATAATGCAAGGCTTGGAAAAAAAATGAGAAACTAAACTGCACATGAATTGATATTACAAAAATGGTGACTAAACTTCAAAAGAATACACGAGAAAACAAATAAGCTTTATATTTAAGTATATTAACTATTTTTACCATAGGAAGGAGAATTTTTCCCTTTTTTCCTAGAAGAAGCTTCAACCATATTAATGATTGGTTGTGGATCAACACCACCACGATCAAATTTGCATTCAAAAGGCAACAATAGTTTCATGTACTGTTTACGTAACGTGTATGCAGCACTTGAAGATGCACCTACTCCAATAGCTCCAGCAATATCTTTCCAACGTTTCGCATTAGTAACCTAAAACAGAAAATGATCTCAGAAATATGTAATGTATAAGAAAATAAACCAATATTGAAAGCTAAATATTAATACAAAAAAATAACAGAAAATTATTATAGCTCTATTAATATAACTACAAAAAATTTTAATATATGCTTAGTTAAAAAAAAAATAGTAATGAATTTATAATGCATTAAGCTAAATTAATTTTATTACCAAGTAAATATTTTTCAAATTCCATTTCTCTATAAATTTCTGCAACTCGGAAAAGTTTTTATCTTTTAAATTTATTAAGTTTGTTATATACTTGTTCACCCTATAGGCTTTCTTTAACAAAATCAAAAGTTATCAGTACCAAAAATTGCTTACAAAGCTTGTAAAATTCCGCACAAAAAGATGTACTTTAATCTCCGTAACCATATAATTTTACATTAAAGTTTAGTCTTCATGTTACAAGGTGCTTCACCTCATTTCTAAAACACACACATTTAGATATACTCTATCAATTAATAAAAAATTTCATCATTCATAGCAATTTCTATATTTTCATAAAATTGCCTAAATGCGTATTAAAGAAAACTTTTAAAATTATGAAAACATAAATACAGTATTTACTTCCACAAATCCACCACGTTCTTTTACTGTAAGGTACACTCTGAAAACATCTAATGGCTGTTTACTTATTGTAGGACACTGAGTGATTGGACTACCTCTATCTTCATTAAATACAATCAACTTATCCAAAAAATATCGTCGATCAGGTTCATCAGACAGAGTATACAATTTTAACAGGTTTTCTGGGCGCTGAAAATAACATGAAAAAAAATAATTAAATTACTTCAAATATGCATGTATTTAAGAAAATATTACTAATAATTTCATGAAAAAAAGATGGTTTAAAAATAATGCTCCTCTTTATATAGTCATTCAATATATGTTCATGAAAAATGTTTTACAGTTATTATTTTTTTTAATTCTCAGACTGATGTGAATAACTGGTGTGCTTGTAAGTAATATAAGTAACATCTGAATTTTCTACACATCTGCTACGTTGAAAAAAAAAATCATTATTTCAGCCAAATACTTTCCTTGGTGACCCTTGATCTCTCAAAACATTTTTGGTCACCAAAACTCCCCCCCCCCAATTTCTGGAAAATTTATAATGCTTTTTGGAATTCCATTTTTTAAAAGCTTTTCTTGAACAACTTTATCATTTTTTGAAACCTATATAGGAAAGAGATTGCCATGTTTGAAAAAAAAATTGTCTGAATGACCCAGTCTGTAAGAAGAAGACATGCCAGATGTATGTATAGATAAGCCCGTCAGTTCATAACATAAAAAAGAACTTGCTAATTTAATGAAAACAAATTGAAATTTACGAGGAAGCACTTACTGTGTTTCAGTTTATATATTGTGATGGGAAAGAATCAGAATTAATACAAGAGATTACAGAGTCTGATGACTGATCTGAAGAGGAAGATGACAAAATAGAAGAACTTAAAAAAAATGGAAAAGCAAAGATATTGATATTGCTTGAAAAAACTGCCATTATGACATAAAGACTTATAATACAATTTTTAAAATATCAGTAAAGTCATTATTTTACTTTAATTGTTAACAAACATATTTGGTGCTAAATTAAATATTCAATTTTTGATACTAAGAATTTTTTTTCTCCCTTCAAGTTTGAGATATCAAGGTTTCACTGATAAGAAAATATTACTTACCTTAATGTTGGCAAACTCATAGTTATTATTAGCAACCTAAAAACAAAAGCCATACTTAAATTCTATTCACTAAACTATTTAAAAAACATATCCTACATTTTTTTTCTTAAATTTATGAAAGATTTATTTTAAAATTCAATTTTTTTAATTTCTAATATACTCTACAAATTATTTATCGTTAAATAGCTTCCAAGCACACAAAAAATGATATGTAAATGTATCAGTTATTTTGTAAAATTATTTTAATTACAACTTAAGGATATGTTTCATTAAACATAAAAATAAAACTATAAAAGTTTTAAAAAAATTTACTAAAAAATAGTTTAATTAGTTGAAAATCATACAGTAAATGCTTTTAAAGTTTCGTGGATGTTTATTTCCCTTCAACACTTCTGAATCAAATAATAAAAAATTTAAACTGAAAAATTTGAAACTTTACTTGATTTACAATTTAACTAATAGAATTAATTATTAATCTGTTTAAAGTTTCAAGTTCGTTCAGTTAGTCTCTTTGCAACCTGAAAATATTTAAAGGTGTAAAGGGAACAAATAAAATTGATAACTATCTCATAAGTACCTTTAATTGCACTGTTTTAATAATTATTCTTATAAATAAATCAAATAGTCAAAATATCAACTTACAGGACTAGCAGGTGTCTTCGGCCAACCAGGACTAGATATGCACTCTAAATCATCATGAAAAGAAGACATAGAAGCAGCACCAGGTGAAGAAAGCGTATTAGGTGTAGGAGGGTAGGAAAAATTTGGTTTGGAGTTTGTTTTAACATTCTGTTCATCAGGAATGGATGAAGATGCAGAAGCACTTGAAGCCTGACTACCTTCATCTAAATTAGGTGGTGGTTGCAAGGAATTACCAGAATTTCTAGAACCTAATGGTACATTTGACATGGATGATACTGATGACAAATTGTTAGGTAAGTGAGAAACCATACCAGGAAGAGCTAGAAGAGGAATAATGAAAAAAACTGTAAAATGGTTTCAAGTTATAGCGTGAAGCATATCTACCACTACAAAATTACAAATGCAATTCACTAGTATATAAGACATGTTAACTCGACTCTATGTCGGGGTGCCTTTTCATAGATGACGGTTGACATTGTCTATAACTACTAGCCCCACATTGGTGACCCGGACGTGATGTAAACACGCCTATCTTGACAGTAACGCCCACTTCGATCTGGAAACGCCTACTTCAATGGATGGTCCACAATGAACAGTTGACTTGCTACTTGTGACTGCGACATTATCCACCTCCTTGCACGGTTGCTACTCAGTCTTCTCTCGATCAGGCACAACATCGGCTTGCATCCACTTGACTGCTTACGGCAACACAGGAGCGACTACGATCGTGAAGTTGATACACCTCTCACATTGAGCACTAAGAAAGTACGGTGATCTTCATATAACTCTCCCGGCTTCGCACAAAAAATAGCAATGACTCAACTAGTGGTATCCATACATCGAATTCTATCACAGATATAATTCTGGTGGGGGAGTACTGTAGCGTGTCTACCACTACAAAATTATAACTGTAATTCACTAGTATATAAGACATGTTAACTCGACTATGTCTGGGTACCTTTTCATAGATGACGGTTGACATTGTCTACAACTACTAGCCCCACAAATGACTATGATACAATGATGAATAAATACATTTTAATTAGAGACTTCATATTAGTAAGCAAAGAAAATTATTTAAAAAGCAATTAGATTTCAAATATTAAAAAATACCCTTTTTTATTTATATCAATTTTAATAAATACCAATTTTAATTTATTAAATTCTTTCACTAATTATATTAGAGAAACAATAAGTTTAGTTTGTATAGTAGAACAATTTTATTTATAGTATAAATGTTTTTGCTAACTCTATTAACAATTGACCAAAATTGTTCAACAATTAATTTGAATATACAAGCATTAGAAAAACTATTTAACACTTTCAAAACTTATACATTAAAATGTGAAATAGTTCATACTACAAATTAAGATTTAATGCATTAATTCCTGCTGAGTTTCATTTACCTTATCTGACTAAAAAAATATACCTTATTAAGATATATAAAAGTAGAGCATGACAACTGGAAAGGTAAAATAGAATTTTAAAAATACTAGAACAAAATTTTGTAATTACATACCAAATGAAGAATTGGCCATATTCATTTTCATTCCTTCAGACCCATCTGCTGAAACATTGTCCACAGAGGTCATGGTATCATGAGGAAGAGATGAAGTTTCTGGGGGAGTTGGGATTGATGATACCTGGGATACTTGATTTTGTGGTACTACATTCACTGAATGAATAGATGCTGCATCGTGAACTGATAAATTTGTTGTTGACTGTGCCATAGTTTGAGGCAACATATAAGATTGTTCATTTTCGTTCCCTGAATGGCTAGAATAATTTGAAACAAACACATTTTGCACTGGAAAACTGCTATGATCTGCATATTGAGGCATTTGTGGCATTGGAGTAGTAGGACGAGAAACCTGAGAGCTCTGAGGTACAGCAGAAGTGGCTTGTGGGTGCCCAAGGCTTGAATTTGTAAATTTCTTTGGTGCATGAACTAGGTTATTTGAAGGTATATTTTTAGGTGAATTTATATTGTTATAATACATATTGTTACTACAGTTGTTTTTTATAGTTGATTGATAGCTTTGGGAGGAAGGAACACATGGGTAGTTACTCGGCCTAGCTACAGGATATTGTTGTGAATATGCAACTGAATTGGAGTTTTGATCTTTAGATATCCCTGATGCATACCTACTCATGTCATTTGTCTGAGGAGGGTATGGCGCTAAAAAAAAAGAGGTTATGATATATTTATCACTACGTAAAAATGTATACATTAATATTTATTATACCTAATAAGTTTAGAATTGATGTAAACATTTTGAATAGAGCTAATCATCACAATAAGAAACCTTCATTTTACATAATCTAGCTAAAAAATATACAATTATTAAAAACTCTAACAATATTGAACTTTAGATAAATTTGCCTAAAATTTTTCTTGCTAATTATTACTTTTTCCATATTAATAGCAGAAGATAATCTATGCTCAATTCACATATCAACAACTTTTAAAATAAAAAAACACAATTTTTTATGGTTTTAAAGTCACATTTAAATAAACGAAAGGGTGAGAGGTTAAGGGAAGCACATAATAAGAAGTAAAATTTGAGAATTAGATTCAACTATACTCAAATAGTCAAACTAGAAGTGGCTATACCATGATAAGAACAAATGGCTTAATGTATTCAAGGTAAAAATCCAAACAGTGTTGTTATGAGCTAAGTTTGACAAAATAAATAAATAAAATATAACATTAAAGGAAAAAACGCCTTGAGGTTATATCAGTATTACACTAAAAATAGTAAACCTCTTGAAGCTTAATTTTTGACATTATAAGCCATTAGGTATTTTCACACATCCTCAAACTTTTTAAAGGTTTGTCTTAATAATTTCATTAATAAGTTTTCAATTGTCATAAAACATGACCTTCATTCATGATTTTTTTTTTATTATTATATATTTCTACAGTACAGAATCCGTTATCCGGAAATCATAAAACCAAAAAACCGGGACGAAATTCGATAAAGTTTCCCGCTATTTTTTTTTTTAAAGATGTTTACCTTACCATCATTTTGGAAATAATCATTAGTGTATTACTTCATCGTTTTTTCTTCTTTTTAAGATTATTTCCAAATATTATTTTATTTAGTTGGGTTTAAAAAAAACGGCTTTTTGTAGCAATTCAGAAAACCAGAAAAATCAGTTATCCGGAATAGCGATGGTCCCGATCGTTCTGGATAATCGGCTCCCTACTGTATTACCTTATCCTTTCAAATGTTACAATTAGAAAAAATAACAATAAAAAATGTAGGCATACCTTGATAATATCGACTCATTTGTTGAGAGTACGGATCTACGTTTGTACTTTGAGCAGCAGGACTGTGGCAAACTTTGTTTCCAGTCCACAGGCTTTGCTGCAATTGATGACTGTATCCTGTTTAAAAAAAAGTATAAATAACCAAAAAGCATAAAAGATATGTAAGAAACAGACACAATACAGAGTACACATTTGCTAACAATAAAAGCAACAAATCAAAAAATTGTCATGTTTCAAAATTGTAAAAGAAAAAACTGCTTAAAGGAATTGGCATGAAAGTGGACAATAATAAAAAAAGCTGATTTTTACAACACAGACACTAGCAGGAGGTGGGGAGTGTTCTATTTAATACTGTGATATCAATAAGATATATAAAACATAATTTCTAACTCTGCTGTGAGACTCCTATATTAAAAGTGGCGGAAACATTTAGACAGTGAAATTTAAAGTTTTCTTATATATCATTTTAAAATTCTTTGATAATAAAGAAAATTAAGCAATATATTAGGTTTGGTTTGGTTAGGTTTGGAAATTTTAAATTAAAATAAATAGTCGCTAACTTTCACCTCAATATCTTCTGATAGATTGTTACTAACAGTTTTAGTCACTTTGACTGTTTTATTTTACCAATCAAACTTGAATTTATTTCTTCAGTAGCATTGATCGAACGCACTTTGTGTTTGTCTATCAAATTAACATCCATCGTTTAAATACATTCATTTTACAATGCACCACATGAAAAGGACACTAGCAAAGTCGAGAGAGCTATAATATACGGATGCGCAAATTCAATATGCCTGATACCAAGGAGGAAAACTCTGGATCAAATATTGGTGATGGAAACGAAACTGCATTGTCAAGGCAACAGCGCACCTGTTTAAGCTTCACTTATTTTCTCCTGACGATTATTCTTTCTCAGAAGGCTAAAATTGGGGAAAAAAAGTTTGTTCCAAGTACGGCCATCGTTCAGACAACTTGGGTTTCCGCAGTTACGGAGGCGGGGGGAGTTCTGTAACAATTGGACCCCCCCAAAAAACATTGGGACATTGTCAGAAAAGTAAAAAATTGGGAGAAAAAAAGCGGATTTCCACTTTTTTGCAGAACTCTTTCATCTCTGAAGGAAGCACATGACAAGAAGTAGATAATATTTTATTTGCTGGCACCAAATAAAGATTGTATATGCCTCATCATTATCAATATCTGCCTATTTTATATTTCCTTATATAAAGTATAAAGTAGCATATAGTGAATACAATTTATATTTACTTTTTTTTCTTTTATATTATTTTAAAAGCACTACTAAACCAAATTACACAGAATTTTAATAAATTCGAATTAAGAGAATTTCTTTAACCACCATATATAAATAACATAAACAATTATATAAGATGAGTCACTACTATTCATACATATTCAAGTCACTACTACTGGAAAACATAGTTAACAAAAACCTCAAATTTTGAAGCATTTGTATGTGTGTCTAGAGGAATTTTTGTATCAGTAGAAGATTAATTTTTACAACCGAACAAAAATGTCTGTTAATTGAGTAAGACTTGTAAACTGATTTGAGTTACAGTCAATTGATTTTAAATATGAAAACTGTTTTGTTTATCAGCATGGCTTCAAAAATTAAAATCCTAAAACTAAAATTAGCGATCTAAATCATAATTACAATCCCCTTATTATTTCTTTAAAAATATCTATTGATTCGAGTCATTTTATTAAAAAAAAATATTATGTAATAAGTCTTGTTTTAAAAAGACATTTATTATGCAAGCTTACATAATCAATGCTGCATATCGACCTTTGCTGTCAGTAGAAAAAAGTCAACAAAATTTGGGGTTGCAATATCTTGAGAGCTGAATTTTCAAAAATGGTTGATATTTTGATATCATTTTAAAAATGAGGTTTTATAATTGAAACCAGTCATCTTATAATTTGTATCAAATCTACAAACTCTACACAACAGACATATTTATAAAGCTGTGAAAGCAAAATCTTTTTGCAAGTCACCACAGTAAAAGTACTTGATTAAAAAAAATATTTTAAACTAACAAACTTTATAATTGTAAAGTAGAATCAGGTAAAATAAAAACCGATCCCAAGTTTTATATTGGGAACTGATTTTAATTAAACTGCAATAATTTTAAAATATGTAAGACTTTTTTTCTTAAAATTCCAGATTACAATAACGGATTAGAAAAGTTGAGTAATATTAAATAGGAAAACACTTTATTCTAAAATGAAATGTAAAATTTTTTCCTTCCAGCACTAATTACAGGTGAAAGAAATTGCAGAAATTTCTTTCAAGATCTGTTCGGTCTTAAGCGAAACGCCATCTGTTGTAATTGTTTCGAACTAGTCAGTTGCTCTTGAACTCTTGTTTGAGCCAGTCGTGGCTACCATTGCAATAGTGCAATGATTTTGGTTTGATTATTTACAATTATTAAATAAAGTATTGTTTGTTAAACTTCTAGTATTCAATGAACCAGGGCATTGTCGTACAAGATCTATGAGCACACATTCAAGTTTCTGAAAAGCTAAATATTTCTTAAGTTCAGTTATGCAAATTTCATATTTAAAGTATATTGTAATAAATAACAGAATTTTATTTTTAATTTGAGTTCAAACATGAGGGACAAAGAGCTGATAATGGTATTCTTAATCATCTTAAAACTAAAACGAAAGAAAGTATTAAAGGAAAGAACTATTACAACTCCTTAAAACAACTTAACTTGAAGTACAATTAAGTTATTTTGACTATCCATCAAGTTTCTAAATGAAATATTTAATAAAATTCAAATTTAGTACAGTGAAACCTCCTATTATGGACACTCCTGCAAAACGGACACCTCTCAATACGGACATATTTTTAATTCTTCGGTAATCTTCTATGAATAAACCATTATGTATATTCTCCGCAAAGCTGACACTCCCGTAACTGGATGCGGACAGTCATTTTGGCCCTGAAACGTTATTTTCTTATCTCTTCAAATCGGACACTACTTTTACTAAATTGGGGGGGGGGGAATAAATAAATAAATAACTATTTCTGTTTTAAAGTGCAAGGATAAAAAACTCAACTTTTCACCATTTTTAAAGTATGTAATTTTTTTGCCTTATCCATAACTAAAACTATTGTTAAGCTTTTTCACTACTGAAGAATCAATCTTTCTCCTGTCACATTGCCATATCTTTGTAAAGAAAGGAGAGAAAATAATATTGCTTTCCTAAAATAATTCGGACAGCAGCATCTTTTGATCTTTTCATCTGGACCACACAGGTTATGAGATCCCTCAAGTTGAAATGACATCTTAAATGGTCTCAAAGCTTCTTCCCTATTGAAAATTTCTTTAATTTACTTATCAATTTAAAGACTGTATTTGGGGTAGAAACAGTTGGGGTAGAAAAAGACCACAGTTGGGGTAGAAAAAGAGAACAGAAATATAATCTTTGAGGTTTTCATATAAATTAAACATTTATTCAGAAACTTGATAGCTGATCAATTGTGAATAATCAACTCCATAAGTCCTTATGACTTATAGGTATGCATTGCTTTTTTTCCTGTAAATTGTGGGAGGTTTACTTTCAAGAAGGTATTAACCACGTTCCCTATCAAATGATAGGTAAGTGTAAGGGGATGTAAACCTAATAATTGAATACGACTGAGGACTGGAAGCTCCTATTCGGAATCATATATCTAACTGGAGTATCTATGCTAATAGGAAAATTATATTCATTTATCTGTAGCTACATCAAGAATTATGTATTTATATCAAACTTCTTTATATATTCTTTTTTATCTTTCTTAAAGTTTAAATAAATATTCTTGTAGATAGTTATTGTAGATTATTTAATTATTTCTACATCTTTGAAAATATTCTAAAAACAGTTTAAGGTGTTAAACTTCGTTATTAGGATACCCTTCTCGTAAACGGACAACTCTCATAAACGTACAATTTTTTCGATTTTAAGAAAGTCCGCTGAGTAACTGAGGTTTTACTGCATATATAAGATCCAAAACCTGAAATAATAACAGTAAATGTTTGAAATAGAATAGGAAAAAAAATTATTTACCCTGAGTAGATAGTTGTTGTGAATGTGAGATAGACTGGTTAGAACTATCCATTTTGAATGAAATCTAAATATTGCACAAGGGTAATGAGGAAACCATTTATATGAAATCTGAAATAAAAGCAAGAAATGTATTTTAAAATGGGTATTTATATTATAGATCACTGAGCAATAATTTAAATCTCTTCTCATTTGCAATCTCTCACAAGATCAATATATTGAAAGGTTTTAACTCTACAGTAGATAAAGAACGGTAATTTTGAAACACGGTTGAATCTCAAGAATCCAAATCAAGAAACATACTTGAAATTATACTCAAATTCAAGTTGAACTTCAATACTTTCAGAAGATAAGAACAACTGTCATACAAAAATCTTTGGATTATTTCCTCTAAATTCAATAAATAAATAAAATAGAAGTATTAAGATATTCTTATTTATCATTCTTTACTTTTTAAAAAAATGCAGTTATGACAGTTATAGATTAATCAAGGAATAAGAACAACAAATTCTTAAAAAGTTTATCTTGAAAAAAAAAGTAGTTTTTTTATAACACTGATATATTGTAATAATAAAATAGCATAAAAAAATTAAATACTAACACTATTTATGCAAAATTTTTGTAACAGCAAATTTCTTTGTTCATGACACTTATACTAATCTCTAAAATTTAAAAACTGAACTGTAATTAAAACAATAAATTATACAGAAGAGAAGGCTACTAACAAGAAATACTGAATGTTATAAATATTGATTTTGTTAAAATGTTTTAAAGTATGTCTTCAAAATATAAACTTGTGGCCAAAGATGTTAGTAATTAGAGTAATAAATAGCATATATATACTGCTCTTTTTGGTTATATTTTTAGAAAATTTTTATAAAAATACCTAAACAATATTAAATTTCAATAATTAACTTTTTTTAAACAAGTTGACATGCTTAAAAAAAATAAAAATTAACATGATTAAATATCACTATGCAAATTAACTCATTCATTAAAAAACAACTTATAAATCTTACAGCTGTTAAAAACAATTTCTTAACACTCTTTGCAAAGCCGAAGTGCTCGTGTGTGATTCTAGGTGTTACCAACATGCACTGAAGAGCAACAAAAAAAAAAAAAAAAAAAAAAAAAAAAAAAAAAAAAAAAAAAANAGCCCCCCCCCCGCAAGCACACAGAAGTGCCGCAACATGACGTGGCATGGATTCGATCAATGTGTGAACTAGTGCTGGAGATAATTGACACCATGAATTCTGCAGGGCTGTCCATAAACTAGTGGGAGTAAGAGGTGGTGGGGATATCTTCTGAACATCATGTTGCAAGGCATCCCAAATATGTTCAATAATGTTCATGTCTGGGGATTTTGGTGGATTTCCGATACTCACGGTATACTTGTGAAATGGTCGTACGTGAAAATACTTAAATCTGTATAACCTGGCATTGTAGAAATAGTAACCGATCTAAGAACTGTGCCAGACACTCGTTGTCTTATATACGTGTTGCCGATCGCAGCGCTGTACTTTGATTGGCTCCATACCCCTTTATTTGCATACTCATACCTGTGCCAGTTTTTTTGGCTCTTCAGTGTAGATGTATCAATGATTTGACTGGTCAGGTCATGTGAGATTTACACTGACACCTTAATTCAAAATTAATTTTTATTGGATTAGAAAAAAAGATTACTTTATAAGATAAAAATTCATTTAACATCGCCTTTATTTTAAAATTAATGTTAGCTGCATCAATTTTTTCCCCTCTTTCGTTATGAATTTAAAAGCTGTTTCAGAAACCAAAATAAATTATAACACAATTTCAGAACATAACTATAACCAACCCCAAGACAATAAACTGTAATAACAATCAATTCCTGAATTCAGGATACATAAAAGGCTTATCATGTCACCTTCTCTACATTAATCACTGTTATATTTACAGATATTTTTTAGAAGCATTTGTGATTAATAATAATGGGGAAAATCCTTTTTTGTTTTCTGTTATACAAGTTGTTTTTTTAACAGACCTTAGATACATTTGTATCACTGATTTCAAATTTGCAATCAGTTTCTCTTTCCAAGCTAGACTTTTTAAAATGACATTTTTAGCCCATTTTTAAACAAAATTCTTCTGGAGTTAGGAAACATCAGAATTAATGTAATTGTATAAAAACCCATGCCTGAAAACATCATATGTCATTAGAGGCTCTACTCTATTATAAACCGTTTCCACATGTGCTTCTGAACAGGTACTTCTATTTAATTAATTTATATATATATATATTATACTCAAATAAGTTTAATATTAACAGTTTCTTTTCTTCAATGATCTGAAGAAATAGTCAAGTTAGATAATTTAATGATTTGGCAACATTGACAAGTAAGTCTTCAAATCATTAAATTGCAATAAAGCAGTTAATACTGAACTTATTCAGATGTAATTTTAGTCAATAATTATAAGAAAGCATAAAATTAAGCTAGTTTAGTCAAATAAAAGTACGCATTTATAAACATACAAAGAAACAGTTCATAATAAGGCATTTCTGGGCAAGGATTTCTATGCAATTCTTGTTATACATGTTATTAAATTTTGATATTTTAAGAAAAAAACTGTAGTTTTAGAAGCAAAACTAATTACAGATTAAAATCCCTACAGTGTAATTAGGCCAGTATTTTTATAAATACAGCAAAATATTTTGTTCCTCGAAGAAATTCAATTAACTAATTTTGACAGGAATTTCTTTTTCTCACAGCATTAAAAATTCTAATAGTTTTAATACAAAAATTTAGGTACAAGTATTTTCCCTCCTGGTAAAATTTCAGAAGAGTGAAACACTTCTAAAATGTAAGCGTATGTATGAAATATGAGTCTAGATGTATACTCACGAACTCTAGTCTGGACTGTGATAAAATAAAACAAAATATAAAATTAGCTTAAAAAACATTGGCAGGAATATAACGTACAAAGGAAGACCTATTTGAAAAATTATGTTAACAGATAATCCTAGAAAAGGCCAGCCAAATAAATACTTATTTTAAATTTAAAATATATATATATATGATTCATACTTGCTTAATTTCAGCTTCTTTGACTTTAACGCTTACTCCATATATTTATTTCATCTTCATCTATAGTCCAGATCATGCATTATGAGGCAGTAATTATTTTTGCAGAACATTAAGTATTGGTACATGCTGAAGGGCTTAAAATTTGATATTGATAGTATTTAGAATAGGATCCAAGAAGAAAACTTGCTTATCTATAAAGAGAAAAAAAGCATATTATTTCTAATATTTTAGTGAACTATAATAACATTACAAATAGTGCATAAATACATATGACATATTTTACATATAATAACAATATAGTTAATGATCTAAAGTGTAACATCTAATACAATGACTCTTTCAATGGTGATGTGGTATTCAATTATATAATACAAAGCTTGAGAAGGGGCAATCCCATTAACAACCCTTGAATTACTTACTTGAATATTTCAAACAAAACAATAGAAAATTAGTTTCATTTAATTCTTCAAACGTAATTTCAAACAAAACAATAGCAAATCAGTTTCCTTTAATTCCTCAAACGTTATGCCGAATTCTTTTTTCTTTTAATTTTTATCGGTTTTATCGGTCTATAATTAGGGGGGGGGAATGGAAATTGAATTAAAAATTTTCAAATTATAATGAAGATCCTATTTTTAGGACTAATTTTTTAACAGCTATGGTAAGAATGATTTGAAAGAGTACAATTTTGCTTCAAAAAAGCTTTTAAAAGTTTGGAAATCAAATAATTTAATGCTTAAGAGTAAAATTTAAATTTTTAATTCAATGGTATGGAGTATACTGTTGTATGGGTCAGAAACATGGAAACTAACAATACTTCTGAGTACAAAATTAAATAGTTGGCATAATAGATGTTTGAGAAATATTCTAAAACTATCCTAGCCTCAGACCATATCAAAGTCAGAACTCTACAGTAAAATCAGGCAAGAACAAATCACTATCAGCATAAGAAGAAAAAAGATAGCAATGGATAGGTCACGCATTGAGAATACCTCCTACAAGAATATCATCAGTAGCCTTAACGAGGGCACCATAAGGCAAACGAAAAAAGGGGCAGACCAAAAGGGGATGGACAAGCTCGTCCCAGGCAAACTTTAAGAGGCCTTTACCCTCGGCCTCACTATCTTATATTTTAGGTTAGATTTGTGATTTCTTGATTTTTCTTATACATAACAAACTTTTGATGATATAATACACTGCTCAAAACACTTAAAGGATATTGAGGTTGTGGGTTAATCTTGCACTTAGAGAAATGTTATGAGCATTCATACATTATCGACAGACTTAGTAGGCTATATGAGATAAAAATGATATTTGTTTGGCAGGAAAAAAATGCATTTATTGAGACCGCAAAAGGAAGAAAAAAAAAGCACAATTTGTGTCTAGGTGAAAAACAAATATAAAAAAGGTATTTCCTAAAAAGAAAATCGTTTTTAGCAGGGGGTATAATTTCCCTGGGCGGCCAGCAACATTGAACACTTTTGAGGCTGTCCCACTTCTCCAGAAGAGCTCTTTCCAGTTCTTGGAGAGTTTGTGGGGGTGGTAAACATCCAGCTCTCTAGAATGTCCCAAACATGCTTGATTGGGTTCATGTCTGGAGGACACACTGGACAATTCATTTGTATGATCCCTTCCTTCAAAAAGAAATCATGCACCAAGTTAGCACGATTTAGTCTGCAATTGTCGTCCATTGACATAAAGACATTTCCAAGTGAAGTAGAGTAAGGGACTACAATAGGACTACATGGATCAATGGAGATGCCAGCATCGACCATCACACCCCAACCTCCAAATCGTACAGCTTTGGGCGCAAACGCAGGATTGTTTCTAGTGCCATGTTCCCAACAGACGAAAACACACCTATTCCAATTATCAGGATGAACTGAAAAACAATACTCATCAGAGGAAAGAATATTGTGCCATTCATTTCTCCTCCAGTACACATGCTTTGTTGTCCACTCCCTATGGGCATGACTATGCTTTGCTGTTAACGTGACACACACCATTGGTTGGCGAGCATACAGACTTACAGCCTGAAGGTGATTTCGGGCAATTTGCGTCGAAACTATGGTGCCTCTAGCTGAGAGAAGGTGTTGTTGAAGAGTGGCATTCATACTTCGGTGTCTCAGAGCTGTTAACATTAAATGGTTTACATTAGGCGTTGTTGCACATTTACGCCCTTGATCTGATGTTTGGCCTGCATTTCCAATCTCCAAAAAACGGTGCCAGATCCTGGAAATCACATGTTGTGAAACCCAAATGTCTTCTGCCATTTTGGCTAGTGTTAGGCCCCTTCTAACTGGCCAACAACTCTCCAAGTTTCTGATTTGGTTAAATGACATAGTAGAGACATCACATTCATCGGAACAATGCACTGCCCCAAAAGCGTCGATATAGCATCAGATTTGCGAAAATGAAGCAAAGAATAAAAACATAATGAGAATTTTCAAGCCCTGTCTCCACCACTTCGACAGTTGAGTTTAGTTGAAGATGAAGGGCCTTTTAATTTCCAAATGACTGCAGACATAGAGATTCAATGTCAAGTATTAGCTTAGTAACCCCACAAATAAACAAAATGAGAGGTGTACAAACATACACAGTATAATTCATTAAATATAATGTGCAACAATGTTTTGTTTTAGGCAAATGCATTCCTAAAACTTCTGTGTCTACAAGTATAACTATGCTTAACTATGACACTTCTAAATGAAGCAATGATGGACATTACTATTTCCATAACTACAAGTCTAAGAATCATAATGTTGTATTTCTCAGCAGTTATATTCCTAGAGTTCTATGTAGAGCATTTATCAATCAGTGACACTTAGGTACTACTTGTGTCCATATAAGCCTATACATACATTTAGAGAAATTAATTTGTCCATAGTCAATAAGTGAAATAAGATGAACCATGAACCTCACAGAACAAGAAAAGTGAAACATCAAGAGGCTCATCCATACAAATATATATCCAGTACTTGTGTATAAATATATAAGTATTTATTGGTTATAGTGATCATGAAGCCTAGTTTGTCATGGATATATTTGTATACAGTGCGAAAAAAATAAAATAAACATCCTTCATTCTTCTAAGAGGTGTTGATAAGTTAGAAACAGTTGTCAGTGTGATATAAAATAATAGTAAATTGTAGCAATTCCCAAAAACTACTTTCAACGCTCGTCTAGTAACAAAACAAGGTGCAAATGCTACTAATCTCCGTGGGTTTGTCAATGAACAAAATGAGAATACCTCTGTAGCGGAACTTTCATTAGAATTATATCTGATGCTTAAAAGCAGCAAATATTTTCCATAAAGGATGCTAAATCCTCAAATTTGAATGTACAGTGCAAAAAAAAAACATACGAACCACAATGAATAACTTTTGATTTAATGAACGGATTTTCATGGACTAGGACTCAATTGTAATGATTCGAGGGGGTGACTTTAAATATGCTAATCAGTTAATGCAGACGATATCTTATGTTACAAAACCAGACACAAACATGAACTTTCTCTGAATAAACATACTTTTTTTTGACGAAGTATGATTTCAGACCAACAAAATATAGGGGGTAGCAGTAATCTGGGAAGTAAGGTCCCAATAGGTCGGTCAGGAGAACACTCCAAAGCTTGAACTCCTTAATGTTAATTTTATTTTTTCAATATTTTACTATATCTTCAGAAATAAGATAAGGTCACATGATCCGGGTTGACAAGTTTTTGATAACTGACCCCTTTATCTTGTTTTAACCATCATGCCAAAAAATCCCTTTTGACAATTGACTTAATCCCAAAATTTTGTGTAGAAAATCAATATCTTCCAAAAATGTGAAATAATTAAGAAACAAAATTGCAATTAATCCAATATGTTGTCCTTAAAATATAGTCTGCTGTAGTTAACTAGAATATTTAAGGTAAAGTTTTTAAACCATTCAGATTGAGTCTAGATTTGAAAATCCGATCATTATATAGAAAATAATTTAGCATGCTTTTTTTTAAAATCATTATATGTAAATAAGTATTAGCAACAAATATTGAGAATCAGAAAGAGTTTCACAAGTTGAGATCAGATAATTATTGATGACCACCATAGTTTTATATGAATTATCCCAAGAAACTAAAGCGGTAAGATATAACCTGATTAAATACTTAATTTGCTTCAAGACTATATATAAAAAGGAAAAAACAGTCAACATGTTTCAAGCACTTCAAAAATAGGCGTCTATTTTCAAGACTTGCCAAACAGACGAGAATGAGAAGAAACAAAAGTGTTTTGACTTTTGTTTCCAAATCAATGTCCATGTTGACTGCCACTGAGAAAGGATACATATAAATAAATACATAAAAATAAATATTATATATATATATACACACACACACATCTACAAATACATATTTCCAAATTACACATGTGCGTGTATATAAATATATATTTAGTATATACTAATGTTCATTATGGCCACACCTTACAAAGGTAGTCTCCTGCTTTTCCGAGCATTAGCAACAACTGGAAAAAGCAGTTGCTAACACATGGCCATTATGACAGATAAATAGGAATGTACGATTATTTTAACCGGGAATATTTCTGTAATGCAGGGGTGATTGTGAGTCCAACTCAAAAATCCTGAAAATTTCTTGAGTGAAATCATTAATGACAGCTTTCAAAAAATTAATGTTTTTATAAATTCAAATTTTTGATATTTTTAAAACATGAAATTCTAAATAAATTATAAGCAGCATAATTTAAAAGGATAATTATGCATATTTTTATGTCTAATCACATTTGTTATTATACCAGAAAAAATACTGACTGAGCTGCCAAGTATAAATTCTAGTTTTAATTTTTCTGAATAAAATATACAAGAAATTTAATATATAAATGTGATCGATGATTTCTTGAAATTTCCGAACCTTGGGTTTCCGAAAACTTCCGGATTGTGGAAAGCAAAAAATCCGGATTTTTTCCGGAACACAATCACGCCAACTATAATTGCCAAGGTGCAAAATTGATTTCAAACAGGAAAATTTAAAAAATAACTAAAACATGTAGATCTTTGCCCGGGGATGGCTATGAGTTATGCCCTTCGAGTTGGTCCCTTTCTGTGAAGTTTCATGTGGGCCTCTGCCCGGAAGTTGCCAGAACTTGTTGATTATTTCACCATAGATCAAAATTCGAAAATCTCCCCTTTTAAACTGTAATGCTTTTTCAAGTAAAGTACAGTTGGATACTGCAAGAATAAACAATGTACTCTTATTAGCTCTGCATTCCTTGAGCTTAATGCTTAATTGTACGGAATTTTGACACATCACATGAATGTTGCAATGATGAGTATTTATATTTCTAAAGTAACTCTAAATTATTTCAAATATTCACTCAGTTACGTAAGACTCAAAGTGTTAATTTATTCATATGAAATCACGAAGTTGTTTCCACTGAGATATTACGAATATTTTTTATTTATTTCCAATGAGCTGCACAATCGGTCTTGCCGATGAGCAAACCTAGTGCGTTCTTCAGAGGTGGTACCCACTCTTTCAGGATCACCACAATGGGTGAGATACCGTTGGTCATGTTAATTTGGACGTCTAGTTTCTGCCACACTAGATGGCAGCACAGAGACTATTTGGATGCTAAAGTGCACTAGGAATTTAATTTTGCCGAAAATGCCAAGAGCCAATAAGGCCCTCCAGAGATCTTTAGCTTGCCGCATAATCATACGACATGGCCGCTGAGGATTTTCTGCATTCCGATAATCCGGTGTCTGGGCTGGGGACCGAACCCGCAGACTTGGGCTCAGAAGGCCGACGACAAACCAACTACGCCACCCAGCCACTATTATGAATATGTATTACTAGATAAGTATAATACAATACACGAACCTCTGAACTAATCTGTAATGCTTTTCAAAGTAAAGTACAGTTGGATACAGCAAGAATATACAACATACTCTTCTTAACTGTGTATTCCTTGAGCTTAGTGCTTAATTGTACGCAATTTTGACACATCCAACTTATCTGAATGGTGCAATGATATACACTCAGTTACGTAAGACTCAAAGTATTAATTTATTGCTATGAAATCACAAAATTGTTTCCACTGGAATTTTACGAATATTTATTACCAGATATATATACACAAGAACCCCTGAACGCAGTTCACAGATAATTTGTCACCATCATGAGATATTTTTTACTACTACTAAAAAAAATAAAAAAAAATAAAGGTTAAAAATTCTCTTATCTTAACGTGCAGGTCCATTTTGCAATGATTGATGAAAAATATTTTTCTTTGTGCAGCCGCACTTTTCCCACAAACATATTCCTTGTATTTGACTTAGAACGCTTTTTTAATTTAATAAAAAAATCTACCTCATCAAAGAATGTTAGTTATTTACCAATTCCAGAGATTTAAATATTCGTCTTTATGCTTTTTCCTACCGGTGCAAAAATGATTTAAAAAAACATTCATACGATTTAAAATCACACATCGCAATTCCTATTTACCCGATTTAAAATCATGCACTGTGTTTTGTATTTGTACAATTTATATCAAACATTGTGTTGCATGTACACACAATTTAAAAGTCGCTATTATGCTTTGCATTCAGGTGACTTAAATATTATAAATTAGAATACATATTCACACAATTTTATAATTAAACAACAATATTAGTATTCACGCAATTTCAAAACTAAATATGAATTATTAACTTTTAAAGGCTTTATAACAAAAACTAAAAACATTATTTCAGTTAGTGAAATATAACCAAACATTTACAGTCAATTACCATTGATTTACAGTGAAAAAAATCAATAAAATGAATAAGCAAACAATTAATATAACTTAATTTTGAAAAATGAAGGTAATACTAGTATTTTTCTAAATTAATTTTATTTAGAATATTTTCACAATTTTATTTTTCATATCCTTTGACATAAAATCAATTTTAACAAATTAGATGAAAAAAATATTTATTTTTAAAACAATATCTGAGAAAATAATTCCATAATTATCAAAACTATGTATAGTTATGATTTTTAATTAATAATACAATCATAATTATTTGAAGTTTTTTTTTTTTTCTTTTCATTTTATTATTAGTTTTCTTTTTAATTTTGACGAGAAACATAAAAAAATAGTAGTTACGTTCCTAACTTATTTTTTAATAACTAAAAATATAACAAAAATATATATAAAACACATTTCTACACAAATATTTCGAACATAACTATAGCTAATGATTTTGAAAGCTTATGACAGCATAACGCATTACTATTCAATACTAAAAAATTATTTATGTTTATTGTCGTGAAATTAATTTTAAAGAATGTATTTAATAAATTTGAGTACATTAACAACCAAAAAAGATTTTCTTACAGCGATAAAGATCTGGGTTTGCGAAAAGAGAATTTTTTCTTATAATAAGACAGCGAAACTGATAGCAAGAATTTACGATAGGAACTTGTTTTGATTAGTAGATGCAATAAGCTATTTCACAAAATATACAGAAACATACGGAAATGTTCACGGAATCAATAGTATTCCACAATACTAAGAAATACAGTGCTGTGCTGTAGATTAAAAAAAGTCTTACCACAGGAAAATAAACAGAAATATTCCATAAACACTTAATGAATGTATACATTCCGTACCGCCAAAGTGGAACACACACACTTTAAAAGGGCGAAGGCAGTAAACCTCGCCAACGAGACAGACTCAGAGATCCGGCGTAGAGCCTTCGATCGGTGCTGCACACATACACACGCATTCGAAATATCCATGCTGAACTCAGCCACACATGCCATCCGTTGACACTGAATTTCATGGCAGCCAACGCACATTCGTTTCGCCGGGTTGCCAGTTCCTGTCCTCATCTTTTTTTATGCATTTTTTTGGCGGACTTTAATATATTTTTATGAATTCAGAAGGAAAAAGAGAATTAAGTAAGTATAATGAAAAAAGTAAAAAGAATTAAAAGGAAAATTATGAATGAAATATTTGTAATTTTGTTTCGTCTTCTTGAGAGGAAACAAAAATTTATTAATTAATCGAAGATGGAAAAAAAGTCGTGTGGAAAAAATATAAAGAATAATTTAAATAGAATAAGGGAGAATAGTTATTATTTTTATATATTCAAAAGGGGAAGAGAAGAATTTTGTGAGTATAAAAAACAAGAAAAATTATGAATGAATTTTGTTTCGCCTACTTGGGAGGGGACATAAATTTATTAATTTATTGATGAGAACAAAAAGTCTTGTATAAGATTTATGAAAAATAATTTAAATAAATAAGAGGAGGGGGAGATATAGTTTATAAATAATAGTTTATATATGTTTCTTACTTATTTATGATTTTTTTTAAATTAAAAAGAGAACGAAATGTTTTTGAATTTCTAAACTAAAAAATTTGAAAAAGATTTGGAAAAAATCTATACATTCATATAAACAAACAAATAATGTTAACCTTTATTACTAATATATTTTGAATGAAGGGAGGGAAGTACCAGAGAAGGGCAAAAAAATCTATAACCTCTCTTCTAAATATGTATGCCTTTTAATCGGATAAATCTAATAAATTTTTTTTTTTAAAGAAAAAGAGTTAAATTTTATTCTAGCGAAATGTATAAGTGAACTATAATTATATTCCTTTATAGTCCTCTGGGATCTGATTCTTCGGTGATTAAAAATCACTAAATCATGAACAAGTATGCCTAACATAAAATAATATACAATTTAAATTTAAAAATGTCATAAAAGCACAGAGAAATCTTTTTCGTTACAGTACTATTTGTTTGTAAATTAAACTCGTGAAATAATGACTCATGAAAATTTGAAATGAAAATAAAATGAAAAGCAATAAGTATTTGGTATAAAAAATTTTTAAGAAAAATTCTAAGTTTATTTATAATACTCCAGCAATATATATATAATGCTTTTCAAAGTAAAGTACAGNTATATATATATATATGTTTGGATAAAACATTGTACTTGCCTTTCAATAACTTATCAGTCACAATTGATTTATTCCTCTTTCAATTAAAAATTTTGTCAGCCTTTTTGTTTCAGAAGATGCATCACATCTTTATACAAGAATGAACCAATATCATTCTTGTAGAATTATAAAAAGAATTTATTAAGCACTTAGGAAACAATAAAAGGGAAAATATACAATATTTAGAACAATTTCTTTCTTTGCTGAAATTTTTGTTATCTTTCTAAAAAAATAAAATTAAAAGCGAATTACTCACGAAAATTTTATTGTGGGGTTAAAAAGGAATGAAGAATGATTCGTAGAGTAATAATTTTAAAAATATCACACAAATGTGCATATTTACTCGTATTATTTTTAATGTATTTTTAGAGTATCTATAATATTCCTATTTTTAATACAGATTTTTTTTATAGACAGCATTTTAAAAAACTTAAATTAAAACTCACTGTATATGAGAAATAGCGTGTTTTCACTTTTTATTTTTATTTTTATAAATGATTTTAAAATTAGAAAAATTTAGACCAACAAATATCGATCTGTAGATAATAGGAAAATATATATTCATAACAATTTATTGTTTTTAGCCATTACAGCAATCCTGAATATTGAAATGCGATGCAGTGTTTCGAAACAAAAAATTCTGTCTACAACTTAAAAAGAAATATGCACGAAAAATGAATATTAAAAGTAACTGAGATAATAAATTTGTTTACTATTGGTTCAAAAACCAGACAAAGCAACTTCTGATTTGAAGAATTTAATAATTTAAAGGAATAAATAACTCCTGATAATGGATCGGTAATATACAGGGTGTTTTCTAAACACCGCTCTTGACATGCAAATTAAGAATATTTGTTAGAAAGGAATTAAAAATATTCGACGTTAATAAACACGTATAAATAAATATTTGATATATTTAGCATGAGATACAGTTCAATTCTTTTTCGTTCAGTTTTCTGAAAAGACAAAAAAAAATTTTTACCAAAACATTAGAATTTGGTTTTTGGTGTTTTATAAGATAATCCATATGATTTGTTCATAATCACTTTTAAATAACCTACACTGTCAAAATCATTTCAGTTTTTATGAAAGTTTTTTATATGTATATAGAATATAAAATTGCAAGGATTACTAGAAAATATTTTTAGACTGATTAGTGCTTTTGACTTTGGGTTTATTTCAGATTTTTCTTTTTTTAAATAAGTACTTTGTCTATATCCACTTTCTGTTTATATTTTCTGAGTAATTTGGACTTAGGTTAACTTTTTGTTTGTCTTGTTAACCATTAACTTGACGAAATTTGATGTGGTCAACCTTTCATCAAAGATGGATCATTTCGCGTGCTGCAATTTAGACTGAGGACTGCATTTCTTCTGTTGACAATAATTAGTAAAATAGCGAAAATCATATTTTTGCTTACATATAAAATAATATTTAAAACATGTTAGATTGAATAAGACATATTTGTAATTAAAAACTTTTATAATAGTTATAAAATAATTTGAATGGTAAAAATGAAAGAAATGTTACAATTTAGGTGATAAAATTTTTTTTTATCTTCTAATGCTTTTTTGCAAATAATACTTACTATAAATAACACAGAAAACGTACAAAATGTTTAATCGCAGCGTAAACTTTAACTTGAATAAACTTCATCGATAACCATACCACTCATAAGTTCGCAGTTTTTCTTGTTAATTTAATAACAAAAAATGTTGAAAAAGTGTTTAAGATTTCTGCTTAGTTTAGATAAGGCAGCGGGGCACATAAAATTACAGAAGAAACTGCAAGTGGCCCCACACTGTAAAATATCCAGATCTAATTACAATAAAAAGTACCGGCACTTACCGTAAAAACCATTTTTTCCGAAACATGTTACGGAGCAAATAATCTGATATACCTTATTTTTTTACTGCAATAATTACTGTAAAATCACTCACTCACTCTAATTAAATGAATGTTACTGTAAAAATTACGGTATTATAATTTACGGTAAAAATGGATTTTACAGAAAAATGGATTTTACGCCTTATGCACTCAAAGTGCCGGTACTTTATAACGTAATATGATTCAGAATATTTTACAGTACACGAGCCTCAGAATACCGATCCGTACAATAGAAGGACGAGGACAGTCAATGCTGCTCCTTTTTGACACAGTTGTATTATCTGTTGCTTTGTTTTAAAAATAGTTTATAAACATTTCCTAACTATTGAATTTGTAACTAAACATAATATTTTTGCTTACTTTATTTTAGCTTATTTTAGCTTATTTGCTTACTTTATTCATTGACTTTATTCATCATGAAATAGTTTGACTTGGAATTTTTTTCAATATTAACCCATTAGCGACCACAATCTCTTTTTAAGGACGCCTCTAAATTGGCAACATGAGTTCACAGGAATTATTGAATTGTTATTTTTTATTTATTTACTTATTTGTTAAATAATTGAAGTAAGTACTTTATTTACGTCACACTAGCTGCACAATTGCCACATTGGCGACGATCTGGGAAACATGCTTAAGGATGATACGAAGAGATCCCAATTTGTGATTTTTCAATTTAGACATAGATCTGCAGGGGAAGGAAATTTTCAATAGATCCCTGTTCCCGTGGTACTGCTCAGTGACCAACCACAGCATTTTCAATTCCTTAGATTTTATGAGCACGTATATCGGAGGGTCTTAGTGGAGTCGAGGATCGAACCCCGGCACCTCCAGAACGGAGTCCTATTCTCGAACCACTGGACTACCACGGCCATTTAATATTTGAAAGAAATCATCTTTAAATAGTTTCTACTTTAAATTTTTTCAATTAGTCATATATTAAGCGTTTGTTTGAATTTAATCATTAATAAAACAAGGAATTTTTAGGCAGGAATTTTTAAATTATTTTTTTGGTTAAATTTACACTATTTTAATATCAATAAATATCACGTTTTTAAAAAATTGAGACTTGCATATAAGTATTCAAAATATTTTCAATTTTTAATTCTAAATTGTTCCCCATTGGACATGCATAATAATAATAACATACATATAATATGGGGCTGAACTGTTATAATATATATATATATATATATATATATATATATATATTGACTTTTTTGTGGTTTTGTTTGCTTTGGATAACTTTCATCAGTAAAATATTCCCTGAAC